TATCAGCACTATACTCCAACACCATGGCTTGTAAAAGTTCTAAAAAAAGAATTCATCTATCACTCTAGTTCTAATCTATATAATGCACATGGGTCATTATTAGCTCTATAATGATTGGTTGACATCCATTGAAATTGTATGTTGATAATCATAATTGTTAAAAACACATGCCACATAGAGTTATAGAGTTTCAAGTAGAGTTTATTTTCAAAGTAACACTCCATGGCTTCTTCCTGGATCCTGGCTTTTTCAAATTTGGCCAATGGATGATTTTCAAAGCTGACATGAAAAAAGGAATGCTAATGGATTGTTAGCCATTAGAGCATTTTTCAAGTTTGTTTGTAATGTCTTTATGGATATTGGTGGAATAATAATATATATATATTTTTTTTAAAGATAATGGCAACAGAAAGAAAAACTTGAATCCAGTATTTCATTCGTGAAATCTTTTGCATTTTTAGTTATTATTTATATATTTTTGTGCATTTATACTTTTCACATTATGGAGGTATGTATTATTGGTGTGGATGTAATTTGTTAGGTAGGTTTTTTCCTGAACATAGTGTATGTTCTGTTATGTTTGAATTGAAACGGAACTTTACCAAATATAAAGATGCCTGAGTCCTGTTTTTTGGCATATTGGCCGAATGGGAAGAAGTTAGACGTAAATTGATAATACTAACAAGATTTTTTCTGCGTTTGCAAAGGAGCCTTATCAAGCTGCCACTTTTCACACTTTTCTTCTAAACTCCATTATCGTCGTTTCTCCTCAGGGCACTCCATCTCTCTTCTTTCAGTGTGTGGTCCGTGTGAACTAGCCGCACTCAAACTGGTCCTTTCTCTTAAGTAAAGTGCCCCTTCCTGACAAAGTAATGCCCACTCAGAAGTGCTAAGGACTGTTTGGGTTTCAGAAACAGCAGACCTAACCATGGACCAAGATGGATCTCATAAACAGGAACACAGCTGCAGACTCGGAGGCTAGTGTTATATGACAATCTTTTCAGAAGATGGCGCTTAAGCTGAGTGTCTACTGTATATCTCTGTTCAGTTGTTAAAGATTGTGCAAAGTTCAAAGAATATAAAATATACAGTATAAGAATATCTAAGAAAACAAGTTTTTAAAACACAAACATGTAAAAGTTAAGGGTTCTTAAAAATCCAAAACAGTTTGTTTCATTTTTGACAGAAGAGAAGAGGGCCACAGGGCTCTTTCTTGATGTTCTTTTCAAACGATACAATGTTTTGTACGAAGACGGACAGCGGTTCCCAAAATTTTACTTTAACAAGACTCTTGGGACAAACAGAATGTATTGTGAAAGGCGGCTACGACAGGCTATTCTCATCACTTGACTCCAAATATAAAGTAGGTAGAGGCTAGTCGAAGCTCGCGGCTATAATCTTGACAATGGGTTTCAGCCTTGGCCCCGGTATGAAGGAGACGCCCATTCATCTCAAGCTACTTACCAATAATTCTATTTCTTTGCATTGTTGGTTATGCGAGTCAGGGTCGGGTCAGAACTAGTATAATTAGCTTTGAGAAAGTTATGGCAGATGTTAGGAAAAAGTGATCAGAGGAATAGATCAGATGGTTTAAATCCCAATATGAGATTATTAAGTAAGCAAGTAAGTAATTTTTATTTATCTAGCGCTTTTCACAGACCAGAGTCACAAAGCGCTTTATAGTTGTTGTTGGCATTTGTCTCTCACCACGCACAGAGATGGGAGTGGGGTCGCAGCACAGAAGGCGCATCCCAGAACTATCGTACATATATTTAGTTGTGGGGGAAACCAAAGTACCTGGAGAAAACCTACACAAACACAGGGAGAACAAGCAAACGCCACACAAAAAGTTGTGGCGCAGACTCAAACCCAGGACTTTCTTGCTGTGAGGCACAAGCGCTATTCGCTGCACCACTGTGAGAATTAAAGCACATTTTCTCTCCTATATCTTCTTCTAAAGTAACTGACTCTTTGAGATAGTCTCTGTAGCAGAGTAGTCCCCAGAAAAAACTGTGGCAGAGTGGTTAGCCTGTACATATCCAGAGGGTTTTTTTGCAGTAAAAATGCTGACGCGAAGTGAATCTATCCCAGTGAGCTGCATTGATTGTTTGTGGAGTGTATAGACAGAAGTGGCCGGGGTCATGAACACGCTCCATTCTCCTCAATACACTGTCACTGCATCCACGCAGATGCACAGATTATTAATGAACATGGAGAAGAGACAGACGTCGAGTCAAAACCTCCAGTTCAGCTTTTGAATATTCTCACACAAGATGCAGTACATTACAGAATATCTCCTTTTCTTAGTCTGGTTTGCTGTTTTGATACAAATGTTTGTGTATCCAATTGATTAGATACACAAACATTAGAACATCAGATACATTAGATACACAAACATTGAACATTAATACTTGAACATATTAAACATATTAAATATTAAACATATTTTGAGTTATGTTCAAAATATAAAATATGTTATATAAAATATAAAATATTTTATATAACATATAATACACATATAAAAAAATTATAAAATATGTTTAAACATAATAATTAAACATTTATTATTACAATAACTTGTAATAACTATGTGCATTGTGCAATGATGCAAGGGAAGCCAGCATGTAGCCTGTCCGAGTAGTGCCAGAAGGACAATTCTGGCCTCAGGTGGATACAATAATTGATCAATCATATCAAAAAACAAAAACAACAAATATACTTTGTATAACTTTGTTGTCCCAAGAGAACAAATCTTGGAGAACATGTAGTCTTTTACATTCCTGTGAGAAAGAGCCCTGTGAGTCACTATTTGATGCTTTGGGCTGATAGCTTAGTGAGGGTAGTCCTCTCTGTTTCTGTCTGAAAAAGCTGATGTACTAATGTGACGGAGGTGATATAGTGAATTATAATAATAATGCATTGGTTTTATACAGCGCTTTTCAGGACACTCAAAGACGCTTCACATGTCATTATTCTTTCACTCCAAACACTACTGTAGCCACAGCTGCCCTGAGGAACACTGATGAAAGCGAGGCAACCAGTTAGTGCCATCGGCCCCTCCGACTATCACCAACCATTCACACACACAACAGACACATTCTAGCAATGTCGGTGAAGTGTATTGCCTTAGGACACAATGACAGTTTGGCACATTACAGCCGCAGCCGCCCCACTGTGGCACCTGGTGTTCTCAGAGGTCTTCCATCACAGAGATATGACGGGATCTGGCTTTTACATGCAAGTATGGCAACGAATAATGAAAGTGTAAACTAGTGATAGAACCAAACTATATTTTTGGTGATGAATTACTCTCATAGATTGTATTAAATAGTTCTTTGAGTGGTTTTACCCCAGCTTTAAATGCCAGCATTGTGGGAATAGGTTCTGCACTGCACTGACATGCCTGGGCACTTTCCACTAGATAATGCACATAATATATTTCAAAGTACTCTTTCTTGGTCCTCCTTCTTCCTCATCTGTTTAAATGTAAAAACAGTTTACGTTTCACTGACAGAACAAGGATGAACTGCTATTCCTCAGTGTTTTCTCCTGACCGACTGCTTTTAAGGAGCCGTAAATCTGCTTTGTGTAATGTTTCGCACCATTCAAGAGGCTGTAACTCCAAAAGAGACACAGCCATTGTCTAAAATCAACATGGCAGATTTCGCTCGGTCGTAAATCTCCCCTCATTTTCCTTTATTTTACAGTGAGAGTAATTTATTCCAAGCACTTTCCTCTTGTGTTGTTTGAAAGGACTTTTACCAACTGTTGCACTATAAGGCTGAATCTGCTGGGCTGGGTCATTCATTACAAAATTGTGTTAAATTATACATGTGGGAAGTATGTGGCTAATTACTCATGCTATTGGGTAAATGTTTAAACTTGTTCTTACCTTTCCTTAGATATCACCGGTCAAATACTAATTTAACTTAGTTAGGGTTGTACTAAAAAAAAGGTTTTTAGATAGTTATCTTTTTTATTCATTATTTAATAATTTATATTATGTTATTTTTTTATTTTGTAATATCAATGTTTTTCCCAAATGTCTTTTTTGTCTTTTTTGACATGTGTTTTTGAATTAAGGATAAAGCTATACAGTTTTTGTTTTGGTGGTGTGCAAACTCTTCTAATTTATTGAAATATATTTTCTCATGACTTGTCTTGACTCAATTTCTGCTGATTTAGATTCATCACTTTGACAAAACTTGCCAAAAACTCAAATTAGAAAAAAAAAAAAAAAACGACTCCAAGTCTGGGCGACAGTAGCTCAGTTGGTAGAGCATTGGCCTTAAGGCCAGAAGGTCGTGGGTTCAATTCCCACCTCTGCACCTTCTCCATCAACTCCCACTGATGACTGCTGTCGTTGTGTCCTTGGGCAAGACACTTAACCCCACTTTGCCCAAAAAGCCCCCACTGAAAGATCAAGGCTATGCTCACACTCAGAGAGCAGCCGTCCTCCTGTGGACTCACCACTTGCAGAGGGTCAGTGAGGGGCTGGTGCTATGAGACTTGGGTGGCATCTCTGACTGCCACCCCCCTGACCCAGAAATGGATTAAAGGGTAGAAAATGGATGGATGGATGGACTCCAAGTCACAGAGACCTTCTAAATCTTGCCTTTCAACTAGGGCTGGGCTATATGGCAAAAAAGTAAAATCTCAATTTTATTTCCGGCTTTGGACGATTTCGATTTTAAATCGATTTTCATTTAAGTCACCAAAGAAAGACTTTGCCCTTAAAAATATTTTTTGATCTTTCTGCTCAATATTCAAGTTTCAAAACTATTTTTAATTTGTTTCCCCCAATACATATTATAAAAGTCTTGTACAGACTGTGCTGATATTGCAAGTATAATTCATGTGTTGCTGGAACTCTTACAATATCCTTCGTTCGATTTCACGATTTACACATTTTTCCCAAATTCGATTAATTGCCTATATTTGATTTATTGCCCAGCCCTACTTTCAACCCTTTTTTTCATATGTTGTTCCTGTTTCTTCAGATCTACGATGCAGAGGGGACGCTGCAGCACTTTATCGATGGGAACGACCCTAGTAAGTCGAGTTGGATGAGGTACATCCGCTGTGCGCGACACTGTGGGGAGCAGAACATGATGGTGGTGCAGTACAGGTACATGCAACCTTTAATTCAATCTAAAAAAAGTACATGCATACAAGCTCTAAGGCACCTTTACTGTTAACGTGTGTATGACATGTTTGTATTCATTATTTTATCATTTTGACTTGGTGGGGTGACACATAAAAAAATTAAAAATAAATGAATTTTACTCTAGCCTGGCCTTAGCCATCCGGCCTATTGTCACTTCCCAACATGAATGTCTGGGTCTGATCCTAGTGGCTGCAATTACCTTGGTTGTTTCCCATCCGACTATTCAGCGAGCGGGGGTGGCGGGTGTTTTAGGTAGGTTCCAATGACGTCAAGATTTTGCGCCGAATTTGCTGGTTGTAGTTTGGAAATAGCAGCGAATGCGATAGTAAAGTAATGCGTTCTGGTTCGGCTCCAAATATCAAGAAGTTGGAGCAAGAGGAATGTTTAGCAGATTTCATTGCTGGCAAAGATGTCCTGGCTCTACTCCCCACAGGCTCTGTTAGTGGCAAAGGAGATGGCTAAATGCTAAATGCTAGCAACTCACATCTATGGTATGGTATGTTTATTTTTATTTTTACATGGACAGTGTACAATAAACATTTGCCAAAAGGAGAGATGCATTTTACCAGGTTGTAGCAGCAGTGCTAATTTACACCTGTAGTCCCTGAGCAGGTTGTTGTAAAATAAAAGTAGATGGATACATTACCATACATTAGCAGACATAGATTACAATTACATTTATAAAATAAAATAAAACCACCCAGCCCCCATTCTTTACTTTCATACTTCACCTTGGAGAGACCCATGAGGAAACGCATTAGACTTATTGATTTAAGCATGTTTATTGATTGAGCATGTTTGGCGCCCTAGGCCCGGGCGGGATGCTGTTGAGCACGGCGCTTGCTCGCGTGCATGATCCCCCCGGGGCCTAGGCACTGGTGACGGCAGAGGCAGTAGGCAAGCACGCTTCATGCGAGAAGGAGGAGGTGGGGCGGCGGCGGCTTGCAGACTTCAGAAGATCGGGAAGTGGGCGTCTCCGGCTTTTAACTTGCTGTCCTGGTGGTTATTGGTTGACTGGGTGTGGGCGTTGCTGGTATTGATGAGTCGAGGAAGAGCAGCCTGTGGCCTGGCAGCAACAGCCGGGTCTACCACGGTGAACTTTCGCGAAAGCTCCATTTCACCTTGGAGAGACCCATGAGGAAACGCATTAGACTTATTGATTTAAGCATGTTTATTGATTGAGCATGTTTGGCGCCCTAGGCCCGGGCGGGATGCTGTTGAGCACGGCGCTTGCTCGCGTGCATGATCCCCAAAAAGCGGGCCTGCGATTGGGATAGCAGGACGCACTGCGCGGGCCTGAGAGCATGAGCGAGCTGAGAACATGCGCATGTTCAGCCAGCCGCTGTAGCAGAGGAATCTTTGAGCGACTGAGAACATGCGCGCACGCGCATGTTCAGCCAGCCGCAGCAGAGGAATCTTTGAGCGAACTGAGAACATGCGCGCACGCGCATGTTCAGCCAGCCGCAGCAGAGGAATCTTTGAGCGAACTGAGAACATGCGCGCACGCGCATGTTCAGCCAGCCGCAGCAGAGGAATCTTTGAGCGAACTGAGAACATGCGCGCACGCGCATGTTCAGCCAGCCGCAGCAGAGGAATCTTTGAGCAAACTGAGAACATGCGCGCACGCGCATGTTCAGCCAGCCGCAGCAGAGGAATCTTTGAGCAAACTGAGAACATGCGCGCACGCGCATGTTCAGCCAGCCGCAGCAGGGGAATCTTTGAGCGAGCTGAGAATATGAGCGCACGCTCATATTCAGCCAGACGCTGAAGCAAGGAATCTTTGAGCGTTTGAGGAAAGTGCGTGCCGCCACCAGAATCTTATTGCTTACTTGCTTTGCTGGGAGCTTACGAGGAAGCCGGTAGACGTTGTGCTGCCATGATAGCGGTCGCATCTGGCCTGATGTAGGTGGAGAAGCCGAAGAGGACCAGCGCCCCAGCTGTTGCAGAGGAAGAGTGGGGGAGCCCCAGCGAGGTCGCGCGCGTGGCAGCGCCTATCCTGAAGGAGTGGGCTGTATAGAGCTGGGGAGACAAATTGCAGAGGAGCAGTAGGGATCTTAGCTGAGCTCTGAACCAGGTTGCTGTTATGGGAAGGTTGACTGGAGTGAGAATTAGAGGTCCGTTAAAATCTCCTTTTTGCCGCGGAGGCGAGTGTAACGCATCATGGACCTGTAGGGGCAGAGAGATGTGTCGAAGCGAGCTATTATTGAGTTGCAGGCGCCTCTGATCTTCGAATGTTTGAGATGAAGGTTGAATGGTCAGGGGACATTATGTTGGGTGAGAAGAGCGACCTTTGTTTAATGCTTCCACTACGTCGAGATGATCACGCATGACAGAGATCCTCTTTCTCTGCCACGTGTGATTCCGCAGCGCGCAGGCCACGACCACTGGGAATGTCTCGTGTAGGGCAGAGGAAATGCTCCGGGGAAAGTAGCGGGCCACGGCCGGCGAACCACTGGTCCTGGAAGAATCCCCCAAAAACCCACGGAAGGGGCAGCGTCCGTGTAGAAGCGGAGACCTGTAGGGGCAGAGACATATCGGAGAGGGCCATTGATGTTGCAGGCGCCCTTACGCTTAGAATCTTGGGTTGGAGAGTAGATAATTAGGCCAGTAGAATAGGACGGGAAAAGCCGTGTCTCGGACCGCATAGAAGGTTGAGTGAGCAGTGGTGAAACGCTTATGCAGAGAAGCCACAGAAGGCGAGCAGAAGATGCTGCGAGGAGGGCAGACATGTACTGGAAGATGAGCCGGAGTTCAGTGCCGCTCAGAGCCGCTGCAGGATGGGCAGCATGATGGGGAGCCTGTGATCAGAAGAGTGAAGAACCAGGTATGGATGCCTTTGATTAGGAGTCCGATTGACGGCTCAGCGCAGCTACTTGGCCAGCTGCATCTGATAGAATCAGAAGATTCAGTAGAGAGATGAAGCACGACCGCCGAAGCGACCCTGGGAGCATAGGTGCGAGTCCGGCGCAGCGCGGCATACTCAGCCGGGCTGCATCCATTAGAAGCAGGATAAGCTTCTGGGAGAATGGGTTGCAGTAGCAGTAGCAGCAGCGGCAGCAGCAGTAGCCTCAGATAATAACAGCAAAAGTCCTGTATCAAGCCGCGGCAGCAGCAGTAGCAGCAGCAGCAGCAGCAGCAGCGTCCTTAGAAAATAACAGTAATAGTTCTGTATCAAAGCCACAGCAGTAGAATGTTGTTGTAGCTGTTCAGGGTTTCAGTAAAAGAGATGCGAAGTGAAGAGAGATGGCAAAGTAAATGAAGCAGCAGCAGCAGTAGTAGCCGTATGAAGCAGCAGCAGTAGCAGTAGCAGTATGAAGCAGCAGCAGCAGTAGCAGTATGAAGCAGCAGCGGTTGCAGCATCCGTAGATAATAACAGCAATAATCCTGTATCAAAGCCAGAGCAGTAGAATATTGTTGTAGCTGTTTAGTGTTTCAGTAAAAGAGATGCGAAGTGAAGAGAGATGTCAAAGTACATGAAGCAGCAGCAGCACGGCAGCAGATGCAGTATGAAGCAGCAGCGGCAGCAGTAGCAGCAGTAACGGTAGCAGCATGAAGCAGCAGAAGCAGCATTAGCAGGAGCAGTATGAAGCAGCAGCAGTAGCAGCAGTATGAAGCAGCAGCAGCAGCAGCTGCAGCATCCGTAGATAATAACAGCAATAATCCTGTATCAAGCCACCGCAGTAGAATATAGTTGAAGCTGTTTAGTGTTTCAGTAAAAGAGATGCGCAGTGAAGAGAGGTGTCAAAGTAAAGAAGCAGCAGCAGCACGGAAGCGGTAGCAGTATGAAGCAGCAGCGGCAGCAATAGCAGCAGTAGCGGCAGCAGAAGCAGCAAGCAGCAGCAGCACAATGCGATTCATACGAACAACAGACGTGTCACGCCAGTGTGCGCCGCTTGTCTCCGTGAGCCAGGTTACGTACGTGTCTGAAGAGCCGAGCCGTAGAGACAGGTGCAGCCTAGGAGCCTGCGGAGCGGCAGCGGCAGGAACAGCAGCAGCGGCACATGTAGTAGTAAGAGCAGCAGGAGCAGGCAGCCGGGACAGGCAGCAGCAGGAATAGGCAGCAGCGGGATCAGGCATCAGTAGGAACGGCAGCAGGGACCGCAGCAGCGGCGGTCAGAGAACCATGCCCACGGTTGTTTAAGAGCCTGAGGAAATAAATCAACCCGAATCCGAAACATTCCCATGCGAGAACCAGATGTCCCCTGGAGCCATCTTGCTGCTTTGATTATGGTAGAACGCATGAACGATCACTGATCCATGCGTTCATTAGCTCCAGCTCCACTTCAAACCCATTGCAGATTCACATTGGGCCCTTTTTCTTTCTGCTGCACTTTCGAAATGCAACAGCTGCAGTTTAGTTACCAATTTAATACTAGTGACCTAGCTATTTAAATGCATGGCCCCTCTTTCCTCCTGCAGATAGACGAATTTAAATACATTCATTTAACAATAGTGACTTGCGAGTAATGAGATTGATGCTGTAAAGATGGCGCCGTGCAAGAGCTCTGTGTGTGCCGTCTGGAGCACGATGGGGTAGTCTTTGCACATTTTTTTTTTTTTTTCCGACGTGGTTTTACTGCAAGTGGCAGAACATGAATCTGAATTAATGCACATTGCTCCTCTTATATCCCTCAGACATTGGAGATTGATGCCATTTAAGATGCATTGTCCCTCAGTTAGCTCAAACACGTGTAAAACGGAGCCTGCAGACCAAGCACGGGGCGAAGACTGACGCCTGCAGTCAAGTGCGTAGGGCAAAAACCGGCCGCCTGCAGCCTAGACTCCGGGATTAAACTGTCCGCGGTCGGCACGCTCACTGTACTCACATGCCAGGAGACTTGGGAAGCAACGGGACAACGCGGCACCGCCAATCGGAGGCAGGGACACGCACGGCACCGCCAGACCGTCTGCGCGCGGCAGCAGACCACGAGGAACGAGCAGCACAGAACCGCGGAGGGGCCCCGCGGAGCAGCCCGCAGAAGAGCCCGCAGAGGAGGAGAGCAGTGGGGATATGCGAACCACAGCAGGTGCGGGGACGCGAAGGAGGAGCAGACCACGAGCAGCCAGACTGAGGACAGCAGGGCCACGCGCACGAGCAACACGTGAGCAGAAGCGACCCCTCCAGAACAACGCATGCATTTGCGAACAGGTGCGTTAGCGACATGCACCTTGCAGACTTCAGAAGATCGGGAAGTGGGCGTCTCCGGCTTTTAACTTGCTGTCCTGGTGGTTATTGGTTGACTGGGTGTGGGCGTTGCTGGTATTGATGAGTCGAGGAAGAGCAGCCTGTGGCCTGGCAGCAACAGCCGGGTCTACCACGGTGAACTTTCGCGAAAGCTCCATAATCCTATCACACACACACACACTTGCTATATTTACTCAAAATGAAACATATTCACAACTCAGAGCTCATTGTCGAAGTTTTATTATGAGGTCTGTTAATAATGAGTAAGAGAGTTTAGTTGTATTGTTTAGCATGAAGCTCTTTAAAATTCAAAGTTATATTTACAAAAGTTACAAAACAATACTCACAATTTTACATAGGGTGCAGCATTGACATGTATATATTATATTTCCTTTTTGCAAATACACTCACAATATTGCCTTCAACATCCAGCTTCAAAAATTAGGAAACGATTCAAGGCACTCTGAATTTCAAATACTGCACTAGCTCCTTTTGTAATTATATAGCATGTGTATATTAAATTCCAGAAAGTCAACATGACACTAGAGAATTACTGTATCACTCAAAAATAGACAATTATTTACTTGTACAGCAAGTGTCCTTTTTGATAATTACAATTCATTTCCTCTATACAACCTACAAGAATCAGAATCATTTTTATTGCCATGTAAGTAACAGGAAGTCACAGACTAGAACATTTCTTTGACACTCGGTGCAAACAAGTCAAAAGTATGGAAGTAGAGAATAGAAAATGGTCTTCTTAATTTTCTTGAGACTGTTTGACACAACACATTCACACAGGATAACAAAAAGGGCACTACAATCAGAACTTACTTCTACACTAATTACTTTATTGTTCCCAAAATCTCTATGTTACTGGGTTTATGAGAAAGGCAGTTCTCCTAATAGACTAGAGTTAAAAAATAGTTAGGTCTGAGGATATTCAATCCATAAAACAAACTTTTCCACAATCCACAAACAAAATTCATTTCAAACTTGAGCCCAATCACATCCAACATTTTCCTGCCAACAGATTATCTTATTTTACAGTATATCCTATATCTTTTCTTGAGCAATACCATAAAACCCAATCTAATACATTTTCCTGTATCAGTTATGTAAACCAATAGGCCAGTAGGTGCACCAGTAGGTGCATCTCAAGCAACCTCATAGTCATACTGTATATTTGGTTGGTCATATTTGGTTGTCCCCTATATTGGTTGAATCTACCGTCATAAAATGGCACAGGAGGAGTCAGACATGGCCTTGACTTTCTCCTGGATGAACTCATGGATCTCCTCGTCATGCTGTTTCTTGAGTATACTGATCTCTTTGGATAAAAACTTGGCATCGGAGCCACTCTGCAACTGCTCCAGCTGCTCCAACTCCAGTTTATGCCTTTGCCGAATCGTTTCCAAGTCTTTCCGGCCTGTTTTGTTCTTGCTTATCTGCTTGAGCACAAATTCATTGGTGCTTTGCCTTCTTTCACGGAGCAGTCTAAGTTCGTCCCTCTCTCTGGCATAGGTTCGCTGGAAGTCGTTGAGCATCTCGGCCTGCCTGCGCGCCTCTTCTTCACTTTGCTTACGAAGTGCGTCGAGTTGTCTCCGATGATGCTCTTGCATGGCCCCTAACTCTCGCTCCTCGTTACGGCGCCTTTCCTCGTCTTCTTTCTTCTTCTGCTCGTACATCTTTTTGGCTTCACCATGTTCCCTTTCGAGCACAGTCAGCCTACGGTTTTCCTCTTCTCGCTGTCTCTTTTCTTCTTCTGTTCTTTTGGACCACCACTCATGACGCCTCTGCTCCCATGCTTCCTGCTCACGTTTCAACTCCTCTTTCATTATCATCAAACTTCTCCTGTGCGAAGCAGAGTCTGATTTTGTATTGATCTGCTTCACTAGGTCTACGTAGCGGTTGTTCCACTGTTGAATCTGTAATTCATCCTCTTGTTTCCTGAGCTTGTCCTCTTCTTGTCTCTTTTCTTCGTATTTGCGGCGAGTTTCCTGTGCCTTCTCTAACTGCCCATGCTTCTCTTTAAGCTGTTTTGCTCTTTGAGCAATTTCCTGCTCAATTTTTGCGGTAATTTCAGAAATTTTATTTCTTGTCGTCTTGACTTCTTTATTGTGTTTTTCCTCAATGTCCTGTTTCTTCTTTTTCACAGTTATTTCATTTTCTTTAAGAATTTTGACGGTTTCTTTTTCAATGGCCTTTTCAGCCTCATTGAAAATATCAGAACTGTAATAACCGTTGCCATTTTGTCGCACCATCGCTTCAATTTTCCTCAACAACTCGTGAACTTGCTGTCGATTATGTTTGGCCTTGTTATTCAAAACGTGAACGCGATTATTACAATCTTCAATCAATGCCTTAGCAGCCATGTCACCTTCTTTAATATATGATTCTAAGCTCATGCTTTCAAGATCATCACCTCTGGTAAAGACTAGAATCATGTAATTTCCTGCATTGTCTCCAAAGAATGTCTTAATCAATTTGACAGTGTTTTGCTCCTCCATTGTGAAACGTCCAATTTGCAGCACCAGTAAAAACACGTGAGGTCCAGGTGCTAACAGGCTAACACATTTCACCAGCTCCTCTTGTACTTGAGCATTGGATAAGCTTGTGTCAAACAACCCTGGAGTATCCACAATAACCACTGGCCTGCCCTCAATAAGACCCTCTGCTTTTTTGCAGTACTTTGTGACCGATATTTGAGATAATTTAGACTCAAACTCTGTTCGACCCAAAATAGTGTTGGCGGTGGCGCTCTTTCCAGACCCTGTTTTACCGATCAGAACCATGCGCAAGGTTTCTTTCGTTGAACTGGGATTCGAAGTTTTCTTTGAAAGAATTTTCTGAGTGGGAATATTAAATGCAAATGTTTGCCTTTTTTTGATCCGGGGTTTTGTTGTCATTTGTCTGGTGAAACTATTTGATCCGTTCTTGCTGATATTTGCCACCATTTTCACCACTTCTGGTATTTGTTTTTTGTTGTTAATATTGAAAACGAGGTAGCAGTTGTTGCAGCTCTCACAAAGCTCTTTTAGGTCTTTGGAGCTGCTGATTAAGTCAGCAACAGCTAAAGCCACAGGCTCTGAATCTACCGCAAACAGGATCATTTTGAAGGCATTCATTCTGGGGGTGAACGCTCTCGTGATGGCATCTATCTCCTGTTTGTCCTCAGTGACGAATCGCCCCAAAGGTTGGACTAACACAAAAGCATGGATGCCCTTTGGATCGCACTGAGAGAGGCAGTGGAGAGACTCTTGTCTGGCTGCATCTTCTTTCAGGCCAATCAAAGGTGGCAGCTGCACAATAGACACTGTCCGCCCAGAAACATCACCTGTGTGCGCCAAACTGCTGCTCAAATTTGCCATGTTTTTTTCCTCTCCTAAAAGGACACTTGCGGTTGTAGATTTCCAGTCTTTGTTCCTGCCGTATAACACAATATTTAAAGGCGGTTCACGGTTAACTTCTTGGTAAATCGGCTCTGGACTGGCTTGGTAAATATCTTGGTTTTCATTTATGAGATTCTCAACCCGCTCCATCAAATCTTGGAGAACTGTGGCGGAAAGTTCAGCAAAGTTCAGTGTTGTGCATCTGTTGCTACAGTCCTGTTTCAGTCTGTAAACAGTGGGACCCCAACCAACTTCACTTTTGGCCACTACTAGTATTGAATATTGGATGGCGTCATCTCCAAAACACTCGAGGATAAACTGGAATTTCTCTCTGTCAGTTTTGATAAAGTCTGACGGGTTGACTAAGAGCAGGAAGACGTAGGGTCCAGGTCCATACGCAGAGAGAAGACCTTGAATTTCTTCTTTGACCTTGGTGTCTTCAGTACTGAATAGGTCTGGGGGGTTAAAGCACTTCACTACATTGTTTTTCCATTCTCCGCTGAAGACACTGCTTTGTCGGGACAATTTTCCATAAGGAACGAATGACTTTGATGTGAGGAATATGCCCAGTTTTGCCTTCTCTTCCTGGTTCTTTCCGATTAGTACAATTCGAAAGTCAGCGGCTGAAAACCAGAAAGGGTTAATAGTAAGTGCAACAATTATTTCAACATATCTCATGTCAATCGATTGGTCTACTAAAATTGTATGTAAAGTTTTTGCAGTTTTTGAAAAACTGTTCCTGTTTTTCGTCTGTATATGTGTCTTGTGTGTCCTGGGGGTGGTATAGGATGAGCCTAATTTGGTTTTGTACTAATCTCTTTATTTTGATTATTGAAGTGTTTTGCTGATAAAGTAAATTGTCCAAACCCAGATGGCTTCTGGTTTCTGGAGGGTGAAATTAAAAATTATGAACTGTAACTATAGAAAAGTGTATGCCTTTTATTTTGTGTGTTGTGAAAGCCTGAGATTGAAGACAACAGCTCCTGGCTGACCTGAGTAGTGTGTTTGTAAAATAAGATTTTACTAATTACATTTATTTGAATTCATATACAGATTTAATTAAGATTAAGATCTCCTTTGATTGTCTCACAGTGGGGAAATTTCAGTGTTGCATCAAAAGTTACAGAACAGTAGGAATAAGGAATGAATATAAAGATTATTCATAAGTTTTGGGATAATTGTTTACAGTGCAATAGAGTGGAAAATTACTAAGAAAATTTGCTTTGAAATTAGGTATAACATGCCATAGGAGTATACTGGCCAGAGGGGAAGATGTTGTGGCCATTATTTAAATTACTAAACATCGGTCAGATATATCGATCGACCTTTAAACTGGCCTACAAGTTATCAGCAAAACCATGCAATAAAAGTTAAAGATTAGTTAAAGATAACTGTTAGTTAAAAGATAATTTGTTGTCTTCCAAAATACAATCTAGTCGTAAAATTCAGACTTCAGTTGTATTTACAGGGAAAACATATGATGGCTCTCTGGGAGATACTTAATAATACTTGAAAATATGTTACTTTTCTATAAGATAAAAAGTCCCTTGCCCCTGTTCAGTAATGATTATTTGTCTTCTGTGTTTCCTTGTTTTGATAATGTCTGCTTATGTCCCTGTTCATAAAACAGGTCTCACAAGTAAAGTTGCCTAAAGATTAATAATAGAATACAAATGAACTAATCACTGTTGCCATCACACAGAACTATTTACAATACATCCTTTTATTTTCAAGTCCCAGCATTTCTTATTTTATTTACGTTTTGGCTCAAGTATAAAAATTAAACTTCAGTCTGTTGAGTGGTGTTATGTTTGAGAATTACATGTTTTATCGAGTTGGACATGATTTGTTTACCGGTACTTATTCTGACAGAATGTATGCCTTACATTATTAGAATATAGTATAGCATTTATATGTGTGTGCATGGGTGTGTGTGTGTGGGGTAATAATAATAATAATAATAATAATACATTTTATTTAAAAGGACACTGTACAAACATGGTTCAAAAGGGTGCAATTTAAAAACATTAGCATTATTAATAACAACAGCACTGGACGGGTATGTATGTGATGACTGCGTAGTATCAGCAATAGTATAAGCTTCTGATTTATTCCTGTCCCATCTCATACAATCTATATCTTGTGGAAATACAAGTGATTTTTTTGTTCCCATGTTTGAGAAAAATAAAGTAGTTGTTTAACGTAAAAGAATATTTTTTCAAAAAAGTGAATTCTCACCAGCAGATGCTTTGTCCATCTCCAGATTCAACATTTACAAGAAGTGACACTGTGAATTATAGAGAGAAATTGAAGCCTGTTACATATTGATAATAATTACAGAAAGTACCTGATCAGAAGTATTTTGACATTGTGGAGACTCAGAGTCAGTGTTAAAATCTGTCCAAAGAATGACTGAGATCCTGAGCGGAATACATTACACAAAACATTTGCATTTGATTATCAATGGTTATGAATAGTTATTATGGATAGTTGTGGCTTAAGAATCCACCAAGTAGTACTAATACTAAAAGCTTGGAACATAATTATATAATCAGAAAGTTGCTCACCATCTGCGTCTCCATTCAGTCAAAGTAAAATGATAAGCCAATTGCACGTCAGATTAAGTTCAACAGAGAGGCCGAGCTTAGACCAGGTACTTCCTGAATGAATCAAACTGCTCAAATATGTTACTTTAAATTCTAATCATTCTTCCGTTCATACTTCTTCTAAGTCTTCAGTGCAAAGAAGAAAGCTAAAATCCCCGCTGTGATTTCCTGGTTGGCATACAAACCTGTTCCACTTGTCTTGTGACGCTGACAGTCCCATTGCAAACACAACATAGCTTGTTCCAAGTTAAGTATATTAGTGTGAGGTGTCGAAGGGTGCGTGGGGAATTCAGAATATGTTTCTCAACACAGGTTGGCTCTATCTGAACAAGACATTTTTTTGAATGAATGTGCTTTTTGTTATACCACATTTTCCTAATTTATTGTTTTTGAATTACATTGGTGGCAAATTAAATATAATCCAGAGACAGGTTTTTACTCCAGGTCTGTCAGACATGTTTATTACATGTCTGACAGACCTGGAGAAAGACAATAAAGCCTTCCAATTCAATTCAAATGTATTTATAACAGTGCAGCCAAAGAAACAAATAATCAAAAGAAACAAAGGCACTGCTGAGATATACTGTTTAAGTCTGGACTAAAACTTTGTCAGAGACTGTGAGATTGTGGCAGGGAATGGTAGACCGTTTCAGGTGAGGCGACTTTGTGAGCTCTGGGTGGAGAGCAGTGATTTCACCCTCAATACATGACTTATAATAAAGTGCATGTCACCAGTATTATGACTTTCATATGCAATTAAATAAAATGTCTTCTTTAAGTTTGGGTAGAAGGATACCATGATTGTCAAGGGGCAGAGAGTTTTTCTTTTGATATGAACAAAAGACATGTATACAATCTTACCTCAGTGAGGACCAATATAAGACTTTACATTACATTTGAATTAAATGTATCTATTATTCAGGCACATAAATAATGTCCACATAAGACATTAAACACCTACAAGAACAAAATAATTAAAAACTTAAATAAAACAATATTGACTTTGTAGCATGACAAGGTTGGTTTCTGACCCTTCTGCTATTTTCACTGAACAACCTCCCGACTTTGTGTAATATTATTCAGGCCGAGGTGATATGTATGTCTTCCTTTTTAATTCTGCTACTCCGGTTCTGTTTCTTGTTCATGATAACAAGTTGATATCATGTTTAACTATCACATATTTTAACGCCTGACAAAACCATGGCGCCCATATTATTGGCAGAACTTTGTTTGCTAATAAGAGAGCATAAGAAATGTTGCTTCTCCAGACAACAAGCAAATTAAAAAGCAAATTAAAAAAGACTAACATTTTCCACCAAATGTTTAAAAAGTCATAATCCAAGTAACAGCACAATGAAAGAGCAACAGCTTTAACAGGAAAATTATACTGTGTTTGAATGAATACATTTTAATCAAACATATATCCATCCATCCATTTTCTACCCTTTAATCCATTTCTGGGTCAGGGGGGTGGCAGTCAGAGATGCCACCCAAGTCTCATAGCACCAGCCCCTCACTGATCCTCTGCAGGTGGTGAGTCCACAGGAGGAAGGCTGCTCTCTGAGTGTGAGCATAGCCTTGATCTTTCATCAAACATAAATGTATATATATATCAGTATATATATATATATATATATATATATTTTTTTTTTTTCCCCCCACGTACTACATTTCTATTTAGCTTTCAATTGTTTTTGCCAAAGCATCAACGCAGTGTAAGCATGACTCACAGTTAAATATGGCTCCAGATCAATTATAATAAGTAAAAACTTCTAATCATGAAAAAATACAAGTGATCGTAGAGTTTTTCCTCTGATCTGTCTTGTGATCATAAGGTTAAGGTAGAATTAATTGCAGAGGTGGCAAAAGTAAGTTTAGAGACTGACAGTGGTTACCAAACAACAACTTGCTTCAGTTAAGTAAAAGCATATAAGCTAATGCTTGACTAAAAACTATAAAGTACATTTTTTCCCTATAATATAAACATACACACACACACACACACACACACACACACACACACACACACACACACACACACACACAAATATGTGCCCTCAAACTCTGTCATTGGTCAAAAAATGTGTAATGTAATATGCAGGTGTGTCCACGCTTCAGGAAGTGCTGGAAATCATAAAAATGATGATACGTTTTGCACAGCTCAGTGGTTAATACATATGACAGGTTAACTTTTGTTGTTGTAGTAGGTGAAAGGGTTTCATTAAAGAATTCAGCTTTTGTTGCGTTTCTCTTTCTGTTAGATCTCTGCGACAAACTACAATTACGTGATATTTATCCTTTATTTATTGCAGTTGCTGTCTCACTGCTTCTTGCAGGCATGTTTCAAATATTTGTTTTATTTAGAGACAATTTATTCCACATATCTTTCTGGTCTTCAGGCCACTACAGTACTTTGTACTAAAGTATCAGATAATCATGAATTTTTAAACAGTGGATGTTGGAAAAGTTGAGTTTGAAACGTATAGAATAGTGTTGTCCAGACCTGGTGGAATCCAAATGCAGACCGCAGTTTTAGAGCCGATATTTGATGATGGTACTCGGAAGAACAGATTCTTTATGACAAAAGCACAATGTTTTTCTTTAGATGCGGGTTCTCAAACTTTTCATGAAAAGTCGCTGAAATTACCTGTGTAACATTTATCATGTATTATATGTTCATTCTTTCAAATAAAATCCTTTAGCAGCACTGATGGTATGTGCAGGGAGTGGCACTATAGACAAAGAATTCATTTTTTAATGCCACATAGAAGCTACATCAGACAACCTAGAGAATGTATTTATGGCGAAGTCAGGAAGAAAGAAAAAGCAAATTTCAAAGTTATATAAAGCTCTGCAGATGGAAGGTGACAATAATACAAACATCAAAGAGAGTTGGGAGAGTGAAATAAGTATTGTAATAGCAAATGAAAAGTGGTCAGTCATTTAGAGAAGGACATGCAGGATTTGGAAGTGCTACTTGGAGGGAGTTTTAAATGTGGAAAGTAAAATTGCGCTTCTTCCTGGTTCCACTACATGTTTCCAAATTTAACAATGTGCCCAGCACATGCTGGAGAGGTTGTGGTCAAACAGGTGATTGCACACACATTTTTTGGGACTGCCCTAAAATTAAAGAATACTGGGACAACGTTAAAAAAAACACATTGAAAAAATTGTAGGGGAATTAAATTGACTTAGAACTACAACTATTCATATTGGGTATTATACCAAAAAGTGTCTCATCCAAAAATAATACAATTTTTGCTTATTATTAATCATAGCAAAAAAAAAAAATGATCACAGTGTGTTGGCAGAAACCACAACCTCCCTGCATAAAACAATGGTGGGACAGAGTTAAAGAGGTATCAACTATGGAAAAAATAACTGCAAGACTACAACATAAACAAAAAGAATATGAACAAACATGGTCTACCATACCAGAGACAATAGAAATAGGGGAAATGAAAACAGGGGGAACATTCACAAGAGCACGGAATGAAAGATCTTTGTCCATGCCACTGCAGTAACTCGTTATCAATATAAGAATAGTAATCTAAAGGAAAAAATAAAAAACAAAAAAAAGTTAATTGTCAGGGAATAGATGGAAATGGCTTTTGCCAACGATTACAAGTAGTGGCAGAGACAAAGACTGGGACACGGGGGCCCCATCTCGGCTGCTGTCCTACCTGAAGAGTACCTGAAGATGGAGTCTATATCCCAGCTTACAAAATAGCCATTTGGCACTCAAAGAAAGCCTGAAACCCCACGACCATTTCCTTCATCTTGCAACCTAGGTAAAGCTCTTTTATTTTCATGTATGTATTTTTATTAAATTTTACTTTGGATTATTTTGGTGCACAAGGAACACACAGGAAGAAGGGGAAAAAAGTGTAAAATAAGAGAAACAACGTTGTGTATCAATCAATCAACCTTTATTTGTATGGCGCCTTTCCAACTCAAGGCAACTCAAAGCGCCTCACAACCCACATCATATCAAACAAATCAGAAACATTAAAATCTACATATACATATACAAAAAATAAATACATTAAAAACAGACAAGGGATTAAAAAATAAATAGCCACAATGCATAGTATCTATAATCTATAAAATCCTTCAGCTGTACCCACAGCTAAACAGAACAGTTTTTAACCTTGATTTGAAAACTGCCAGAGTAGATGCTAGCCTCACATCTTCAGGAAGATTGTTCCAGATTTTAGCTGCATTAATGTGAAACGCTGCCTCCCCATGTTTAGTTCTGACTCTTGGAACCAGCAAGAGGCTACCTCCTGTGCTCCTCAGAGTCCGGGCTGGTTCATATGGCCAACATGTCGCTTAAGTACTTTGGAGCGAGGCCATGGAGAGACTTGTACACAAGCAGTGTTGTCTTGAAGTCTATTCTCTGAGCCACAGGAAGCCAATGCAGAGACCTGAGGACTGGACTAATGTGGTCGTACTTCCTGGTTCTAGTCAGGACTCGAGCGGCTGCATTTTGAATGTACTGCAGCTGTTTTACAGACTGTTTGGTAAGCCCAGTGAGCAGGCCATTGCAGTAGTCTAACCTACTGGAGACAAATGCATGGATAAGAATCTCCAGATCTGATTTAGACACTATGTTTCTAATTCTGGCAATATTTTTCAGATGGTAAAAAGCTGCTGATGTAACCGATTTGATGTGGCTGTTAAAATTTAAGTCTGAGTCCATTATTACTCCTAGGTTTCTGACCTTATCTACAGGTTCCAAGGAGAGAGACTGCAGGTGACAAATAACGCTCTCTCTTTGTTTCTGGGGACCAAAGACAATCATTTCAGTTTTGTCTGCGTTTAGTTGAAGGAAGTTGTTTTGCATCCACTCACTGATCGGTTGGATACAGTGAAGGAGTGAGTCCACTGGTCCATGTTCTTCTGCAGTCAGGGAGACATAGATCTGAGTGTCGTCAGCGTAATTGTGGTAGGATACATTGTTAGTGCTTATTAATTGACCTAACGGCAGCATGTAAATATTGAACAGAAGAGGTCCCAGGATTGACCCCTGTGGCACTCCGCAGGTCAGGGGCATATGATTTGAGACACAGTTTCCTATCTCAACCAAATATTTCCTGTCTTCCAGGTAAGACCTAAACCAACTTAGAGCAGTCCCAGTGACATCCACCCAGTGCTCTAGCCTCAGCATGAGGATCTCATGGTCGACTGTCGAACGCGGCACTCAGATCCAGCATGACTAAAACTGTGACTTTTCCTGTGTCGGATTTTGTTTGTTTTGTTTAGACTTCACTAGAGCAGTCTCAGTGCTGTGATGGGTTCTAAAGCCGGACTGGAGCGCATCAAAAGAGATATTAGTTTCTAAGAATTCTGTAAGTTGTTGGTAAGCAACTTTTTCAAGAATTTTTCCCATGAACGGCAGATTTGAAATGGGCCGGTAATTCTTAAAGGAATAGTTCACCGTTTTTACATACTGACAAATGTTCTTACCTTACCTTAGACTAGTTAATACGTACCTGTCTGGTCTTAGTCCGTGCGCTCTGTCATGCAAACGGAGCAAAAACGGGAGCACAACCGCAGCCTCCTCTGTATATTTTGTAGCACCAAAAGGTAGCTCCCGCTAGAAGCTACCAAACTCTTCCAAGTGTTCCCTATTAAATGTATATAGTTACGTGACGTGTTACACTGCAAAGTATAGTAACACAGAAATGTAACAGTCGATTTTCTCAGCGGATAAAACGGGTACTATATTGTGAGGCGTAGTAATCTGAGGGGCGCTACGTCCGCGCACTAACTTCTCTCCGGAGACTTCTCTCTCGCTCACTTCCGTCAATAGAAGCAGCGTGACTTGTAATACACACAGTAGCAGCGAGAGAGAAGTCTCCGGAGAGAAGTTAGTGCGCAGAGAAGTTAGGAGCGCTACGTCCGCGCACTAACTTCTCTCCGGAGACTTCTCTCTCGCTGCTACTGTGTGTATTACAAGTCACGCTGCTTCTATTGACGGAAGTGAGCGAGAGAGAAGTCTCCGGAGAGAAGTTAGTGCGCGGACGTAGCGCCCCTCAGATTACTACGCCTCACAATATAGTATTATTATAACAGCAGAAAGATATTTGCACCTAGAGCGTTTGTGTGTATTGGAGATGTGATATGTGAATGAGCTTAAAGTTCCTTTTGATTTTGAAAGGTGCAAAACCAAGAATGTGTTTGACACATTTAGATTCACATAAATCAAGATATGTATCTATAACTTAAACATAACATTTCTGAAAGTTACATTCCAAGCATTATTGACACTCCTTCAACATAACTACAACTTAACCATAAGATTATCAACACTTTTGACCTACATTATTTGAAATAAAGGATGTGTTGTGTGGGTTTTTGTGATGGAGATGTTATTTGTAATAAATACATCATTGATCAGTTTATACAGAAAACTTAAATAACACATATTAAAAGAAGTTTGTAAAACAATATTCTATGTTGAAACTCGCTAACCTTCTCAAGATCTTTGTCCAATTATAAGCAAATGACACCGTGCTTTATAGAACCATGCGTGCCAACTTCAGTGAACATGTGAGCAGAAGTTGAATTGCTACTTTTGATTATACCTTGCGGGACATTTAATTAGGAACTTGCACTCTGCAATACAAGTGAACAACCCAACAATTAATATAAAAAGTCAGAAGCAAAATAATTGTTGGTTGGCAGCTCTTGAGTGGGCATGGAGCCATTTGACCATAGAGAGAGATACCAACAACGTTAGGCAGCAAATACAGTACATAAAAGCAGAAATCCGTCGTCAATTTTAATCTTAATTTTAAAAGTGGACAGGTGCACAGTGCTGGTTTCTTGTCTACAAGATCTCATCAAGTTCACGATCGCTTTTGTGTGACATCCCTCTGTTGTGGAAATTCTGCACATAACGAGAGTAAAATAATGTAAACAACTCAGAGCTGTAATTCCAAACAAAGTGTGAGTTAGTACTACTAACCCATTAGTAAATGTGCACAATTACAATGAATAACAGAACCGATACCAATACCACCTGGCAGCCGTCTGAAACCAACTGCCACGATTGAAGAAATGATGGACATTAAATAGACCAGAGTAAACAAACACATATCTACTCTAGATATTACATAAATGAAGTCAACATTGATATGTGTTGCTCAAGGCTTCTCTTTACGCGTCCTAACGCTGATACAACTCTGATATATGTAACAATCTGCTTTTGAACTGAACATATTGTTCTATGACCCAGATGAGGTCAAAGACATGATGCAGCACGTCTCCATCTATCACTGACCTGCTGCCAACAGAGCATTATGGCCTGTATCTGAATCCAGAGTTGACTATTAGTTAATAACTTACACTCATAACTATTTGGTGTTAATTCAGATTGCTTTACTAAAATATTTCTATAACACCTCGTTAACATGCGTATTTCCAAAAATAAGACATTTCAATGTACAGGATTTCAGGCTGAGGTCACACACATTTTCAGCCTTGCCTGATTTATATTTTTTTACAAAACAAATCCAAAAATTCACAAATTCAACATGCAAATTCAAAAAGCAACACACATATTTACATGCATGTTTTGAAAAGGAAAGCTTATAAATTTCCCCCTTCACTCACTCAACACAAACCAGATGGCAGAACAAGAGAAAGCCAGATCCAAAAACATACAAAAAACAACAGTATGAAAGTAACACAATATAATACCATACATGGTACAAGACATGGAACAAGATGGTACGCATGTCCAAACACTATCTGACCGAACACACGTCTTATACAAACAAAATGAAATGAAATTCCCTCAAAACCTCACTTCTCATTTCAGGGATTTTTTTTTTTATGCGATTGGAACTTGATCAGAGTATAGCGCATGCATTGTTGTTCGCTGCTTCTTTCACTTTCTCCTGTATCCAGTCGTGAACCTCCTCGTCGTGCTGTTTCCGCAGTGCATCCACACCTCTCATCACATAGTCTGGGTCGTGCATAACCTGCTGCTGGAGTAGTTCTCTGATCTCCTTACCCTGCCTCACCTTCATCAAATTGTAGTCCTTTAGATGCAACTTGCTTTTTTGTAGGTGCCTCAGTATGACAGCGTCGTCAACCCTCTGCTGTACCTTCACGAGTGCCATTTGCGTTTCCAACTCCTGTCCGGTTAACTCTTTTGTGTATTTCGTCTGAAAGTCATTGCACACTACAGCCTGCCTTCGTGCATCTTCAAAACTCTTCTGGTGAATAGCTTCCATCTGATGTAGATAGCTCTCCTCGACCGCTATAAATTCCTGCTCTAGTTCTTTGCGTCTGATTTGTTCCTCCTGTTTCTTGCTTTCATAATTCGCCCTTGCTGTTGCATATTCGCTTTCGAGATGCGCGAATGTGTCCACCGCTTTCTCTCGCCGTTGCTTCTCTACAACTCGCATTGATGCAATTCCTCGCTGTCGATAGAATGCTGAAAGCCCCGTCTTTAATTCGCCTATAGCCAAACTCTTGCGACGTAAATTGCTGTCACTGTCTTTATTGTTATTTGAAGCCTTGTATCTGTCATTCCAAGTTTGAATCTGTCGTTGCCCCTGGATTTGTAATAGTTGTTCTTCATGTTTTCTAATCTCCTCAAACTTTTTTAACTTTTCCCTTTCCATCTCTATTTTTTTCTGCTTTTTTTTTACCTGTTTTCCGCTTTGTAATAGATCTACTTCAAGTGTTTTTTTAATCTCTGCAACTTTACTCTTTGTAGTTTTCGCTACCTTCTTATACCAATTCTCAATGGCCTGTTTCTGCTTTTCTATTTCTGGTGCCTTCTGCTTGAGAATTCTTTCAGTCTCTTTTTCAATGGCATTTTCAGCTTCTTGAAATATCTCTGACGTGTAGTATCCACCCCCATTTTGATCCACCATTGCGTCTATCTTTGTAAATAACTCATGGACTTGTTTGGAATTAGTTTTGTCATTATTGTTAAAGACGTGGTACCTGTTCCCACATTTTTCAAGTAATCCCTGAGTCTGGCCTCCTGCTAGGTAATCTTTAATGGTAGTATTTTCTAGATAATCTCCTTTGGTGAAGAGAACTATTGTGTATTTGTCAGATTTTTCACCAAAAAAGCTTTGAATAAGATGCACTGTTTCTACTTCCTCTTTTGTGAAACGCCCAATTTCCAACACGAGTAAAAACACGTGAGGTCCAGGTGCTAACAGGCTAACGCATTTCACCAGCTCCTCTTGTACTTGAGTATTTGATAAAGTTGTGTCAAACAACCCTGGTGTGTCCACGATGACCACTGGCCTGCCCTCAACAAGACCCTCTGCTTTTTTGCACAACTTTGTGACCGATATTTGAGATAATTTAGACTCAAACTCTGTTCGACCCAAAATAGTGTTGGCGGTGGCGCTCTTTCCAGACCCTGTTTTACCGATCAGAACAAAGCGCAAAGGTTCAATACTTGGGGTTAAACGAATACTTGTTTCTTTATTGTAAGTTAGTAAGGGTGATGGTCTGACTTGTTGCTTATCTTCTGATTTTGTATAACTTATGAATCCATTCTCACTAATTTCTTTGACCACCCTGATCAAGTCTGGTACTTGGTGTTTATGGTTGATGTTAAAAACGAAGTGGCGGTTGTTGCAGCTCTCACAGAGCTCCTGAAGGTCTCTGCTGCTTTGGATAAAGTTACCTACAGCTAAAGCCATGGACTCTGAATCCACTGTGAACAGAATCATTTTGAAGATATCCATTTTGGAGGTGAATGCTCTTCTAATTGCATCCAGCTCCTGTTTGTCCTCAAGGTTGAGTGGCCCCACAGGTTGCACCAACATAAACGTGTGGATGCCCTCTGGGTCGCACAGAGAAAGGCAGTGGAGAGATTCCTGTCTGGCTGCTTCTTCTGTCAGACTGGACAAAGCTGGCAGCTCAATGATACAAAGCATCTGTCCATCAGAATATAGAACATTTTTTACACACTTTGAGGATTTTGATGGATTTTGTTTTTTACCCAAAATCGCTTTAGAAGCTATTGTTTTCCAGTCACCAAACCTTCCACACAAAACAATATTCAAAACAACGGTTGGTCTATCATAAAGATGTTCTGTGATTAAGGTTTGTTTTATCTGTCTTGCAGATATTTCACATTCACCTACATAGTCATCAACCATGGACTGGATGTTGTCCATTAAATTCTCCTGAAGGAGTCCATAGTCGAGTCTGAGGAGTCTTTGACCACAGTCCTTTTTGAGGGCATTGAACGGTGTGTTCCAGCTAATGTCACCTTTGGTCAAAATTAACGTTGAATATTTGTGGGCGTCATCTCCAAAACCTCCGAGGATGGATCGGAGTTTGTCGCTGTCCGTTTGAGTAAATTCTGATGGGTCAACTAAGAGCAGGAAAGCGTTGGGTCCAGGGGCACATACAGAGAGCAGATGATTGACTTCCTCTCTCATGTGGGTTTCATCTGCACTGAACAGGTCTGTGGTGTTGTAGATGGTCACGGCTTTTCTCCGCCACTGTCCAAAGAACACACTGCTCTGTTTGGACAGTTTACCATAAGGGACAATTGACTTTGCTGTGATGAATGTTCCAAGCTTAGCCTTTTCCTCCAGGTTCTTCCCAATCATTACAATTCTGAAGTCGGCTGCTAAGAAAAAGAAAAAGACAGTTGATGAAAATAGCAACAATAATGATTTCTAATCTTAAATTGCACTTTTTCATACGATATCATTAAACATCGCATACAACAAAATGTATATATATATATATATATAAGTATTAACACTCTCCCTCACCAAATGCTGCCTCTGCCATATTATCTGTTTCCTGAGCTCCAAATGAGCTGATATTCTGTAAAAAAACAAAAAGATAACAACACAGATGTTGATATTCATGAGTTCAATAAGGGGTGTGTTAAAAAGAATTATACGTTTTTGTTTTGGGGTTTTTAAAAGTTACAGTATAGATTTTCTTTTTTAAAGATTTTTATTGAATTATATTGAATTCAAAATGCCCTGAATCTATATACATGAAAGCCAATGAAGGTTTCTCACCTCCAGCGCCCAGTCTGAGATCTCATTCCCTTGAAGAAGTCCTGTAGATGAAGGACAAAACGTCGGGAAATCTACTAAGAAGTACAGATGATGGGTGAGAAACCTTCCTGAGACTGAGAGCTTACATAAACTTAAACTACATGAAGTAACTTTAATTAAGAACATACCTACATACCTACAACACAAGAATTCAAAATATGCGTTGACGTGGTCTACAATGTGAGTTCCGTGAATGTTAGAAAAGCACTGTGACTCTTTGATTATATAGACATTAAAATGTCACGTAACTAGTCACTAGGAAATAAATGGCATCATTCAATTTTAATGTATTACATTTTGTTTGTGTGTATGTGTATATATGTGTTTATGTGTGTGTTTGTACACAGAAATACTAATGGCTGTGTTGCTGTAGCTGTGAAGTCAAAAGGAGGTGATTTAGGTGAAAAAAATCCCTAAACATACAATTTGCAATAAATGTATCTGTATTCCATCAATAATTCAACAATTTCCATTAATTATCTCAAAAAATCTCACCAATCGGTATCTGCTGCAAAAACAAAATGGAAGATTTTTGATTTCAAAACTATATTTTGAACAATCTTACAACACAGCAGCTATTAGTTTTACAGTTCATAACAAATGAAAATGCCAGTAAATGATTACTTATCCACATCTATCAATTAACATACGACAGTAGATACTAGTACTCACAAATAACAGCGCCTTTGTGTCCGGTCACAGCTGAAATGTTTGTAATCAGAGAAAGACACTGTGGTGTTCAACCTCTCAAGTTAAGTCAAGCGAAAGGTATTTGTATGTTTTCTCGTCAGTGTTTGCAGAACTGGCTCGACTTGTTAGAACTATTTGATGATTAAAAGAAAGAGGGCGTCACGTGTTTTATAACTAGGTTGCTTTTACGGTTTACATAAATATTCCAGGCATGCATTATGAATATTTTCTTTTTTTATTGGCTTTGTGTCTAGTGTCGCTCAACTTAAAATCATAAACAGTATGTATGTTAGAAAGCCAAAATATACACTCAATTAGGTCGCTGTGTAAGACCATGGTGTGATCACAGTATACAGAGTTATTATTACTATTTTTTCTTTGCAGTGCTGCTCGTTTTTTATACCTGTCACAACAATATCAGCTTCATGTTCTTTTTGTGATGGATTTATTGTCTTATTGTTTTATCTAATAGTCAAGAGATCTTTGTTGGTTTTTGTAAAACAATGACATTTTTGCTGCTCACGATTGAACTTTGCTAATACATATAATGTATAGCTATATATTTGGTGCAGCTCTGGCCTTTTAATGATTTTATAAAAAGATTTGCTGGTAAGAGCTGCTACATTCTCAGTGGTATGATGCAGGTATAATAGACACATTCTATTTGTTTTAAATTATGAATCATACAATTATACAATACAAAGCGATATACTAAACATGCAACAAAAAGAGGTTTTGTGGGAAAAAAAATGTGTATAGAATATTTGACAAATTGAAGGTGGTAGCTGCAGCCCTATGTGTAATCACCTATATCGGATCTATCAGCCCCAAACATAATAGCCTTTGAGTATAAGTACAAAGGCTTTTGCTTCCATATTTATTAAGTATTAAACTAAGTAATCTGTATTTATATAGGGCAAGGCAAGTGCTGAACAAAACAAGATAGCATTGAAATAATTAATAGATAATCACAGTACATTAAAAAGAAAGATTGAAACATAAAATCCTTTAGTTGTATGCACAGCTAAACAGAACTTTTATTAAACTGGATTTAAACATTGCCAGAGAAGATATTGCGCCTTTCACAGACCAGAGTCACAAAGTGCTTTACAATGTTGTTTTGGCCATTTTTCCGCTCACTCCACACAGAGATGGTAGCAGGGTCGCCGTACAGACGTTTTTAGTGTTTTTAGTGGTAGGGGAGACCGGAGCACGTGAAGGAAACCAACACAGACACAGGGAGAACATGCAAAATGTCAATGTATTACAAACATTCAAACGTTCCTAAATGATCAGATTAACTGCATGTCAATATTACTCCAGTTTCACAAGCTCTGTTAAAAATGTCTGGTGTGGCTACTCAATTATAGCAAGTACACAAATTAAAGTAGTCCTTTTATTGAACACACTGATATTTGGAAAACCATTTGTACATGTAGTAAAATTATATGATACAACCTTTATTTTGTTGCCCAGTGGAGATTTTTATACATTTTCTTTCATTAAATAAACTACTTCATCAACTTTCTGTCAACCTCTTAATCCAATAATTATGTATAATTATATATTATGTATAATTATATTAATGCAGCAGAATTATGTTAATGCAGTAGAATTATAAAACAAACCAAAAAAAGATGACACATAAATAATTGATGTCACAGTCATAAAATGCCATCTACAAATGTTAAAGGGAACGTATCTAATATTTCTATTTGAGATTAAATACACATTCATCTTTTAGTTTTTCCCCAGACTCTTTGTGATCAATATTGAGGTTTATCCGTAATTTAAAAAAAAATCACGATTAACACCAATGTGCAAACAATATCTCCAGACGATTATCCAATTAGAGAGAACAATGAAACCAAAAAACTACACCAATGTATTGTGTCGTGCGTCACAAGACAAATTTTATTAAAGGGCATTCAGATCATTAAACGGCAATCACTTGATTGTCATAGTAACGTCATATTCTGAAGGTTGTTGTCAACAAACTGTAAGCTAAAGAGATTGTACTAAAAAATAATGTCAGAATGTCGATTGTCCAACTCTCAAATAGCCTATTTTACCAAAACATGAAAACATATTACATTAAGGTTTCAAAGAAGGCGCACATCCCAATGACTCGATCTAACGTACTGGATTCAAACCATGATTTTAATAGACACTTGGGAGCAACATAGCTGTGCAAATGTTTAACTTTTAACATGATACTTTAAACCATCCTTAAGACAAAAACATGAAATTCATGAAATTGTTTTGTTGTGTAATCCTTATTGACTTGGCATCAGAAAATGTGCTGGTGTGCATGCTTTTATGCACAACATTCTCAAGTATCTTCATATACCAAGTTTAAAGAATGAGCTTTTAGACTAGAGGGACGGAGGTGTTTCTGCCAAATTGTGCCAGAAGTTCCTCTTACTAGTTTGGGTGGAGGTAAAAACAACTCCAGGTATTTGAGGAAACAAATGTTGTGCCATTTATTGAAATATAATATTATAAAGTATGGCAATTAGAAGTATTGGTATACTTTTATATAGTAAAAAAGTATTGGTTGCGGTGGCCAAATTATATATAAATATCCATCCATCTATTTTCTACCCTCTCAGCACTTTGAGTTGCCTTGTGTATGAATTGTGCTAGACAAATACCCAATTGCTGCTACCCAATTCACAGAGCACCAGCACCTCACTGATCATCCTGCAGGTGGTGAGTCCACAGGAGGAAGGCTGTTCTGTCAGTGACATTACAGCCTTGATCTTTCAGCGGGGGCCTCAGGCAAAGTGGGGTTAAGTGTCTTGCCCAAGGACACAATGACAGCAGATATTAGTGGCAGTTGGTGGAGAATGTCCCGTGGTGGGTTCGAACCCAAAGGCCAATGCTCTACCAACTGAGCTACTGTCGCCCACTCATATATAAACCGTTAAAGGTATATAGACGGAATTTCTTTTCCTGGGTGTATCATCTACACCAGGGGTGTCAAACCGGTCCTCAAAGGGCCGGTGTGGCTGCAGGTTTTAGCTCCAACCTGAGCAGGAGCACATCAAACTCCACCCATTTCCTCAGGTGAGTCCAGTTTTAACCTGAAGATTTAAGGAAATGGGTGGAGTCTGGTGTTCTTCTTCCCAGGTTGGTCCTAAAACCTGCAGCCACACCGGCCCTTTCTGGAACCGGTTTGACGTCCCTGATCTACACGATTGGTCCTCCTAATTGTCAATCATTCTGGTCACGTAAGGCTATTGTACGTGCTCATCAAACAAGACCAGAGTTCTTTCACACAATGGCGTGCGCTTAATTATAATGTGTGGATGATAAAGTTTTTTGCGTTTTTTATTGAATATGGGGGAAAAACATTTTAGTATTTTTTTTCCCTGCATTTTAAATATTGAACATAAGGCATATTCAGGGCGAAATTGACCGAATTAAGTGTTCACAGAATCGTGCAGGCATTGTTGTCCACGCCTGTGTTCGCTCGGTCCCTGATCCAAATGTGAATCTCCCGCTGATGTTTCTTCTCTAAGTACTCCATTGCCGCCTGAAGCTCGGGCTGTTTTCTAATGTACTTCTTTTTGAGATCCTTTATCTCACTGCTTTGCCTATCTTTCAACCATTTATAATTTGCTCCGTGCGTTTTATCTTTTATTATGTACCGCACCAAATCGTTGGTCGATTTCTCATGCTCACTCTGCTGAACCAACTCCATGTCGCGTCTGTTCATCTCCTCCACGAGGTGAGAAGAGCTTTCTATAAACTGGTTCGACCTAAGTGCTTGTTCCCTGGCTTCAGCTACATGTTCTCGAGTAATCCTCTCCATCTCCTGATGATGTTTCTTCAACAGCAGCTCCTCTTGCTCCCTGAGTTTCATCTCTTCATCTCGACGCATCACCTGATAAGTTTGACAGTCGCGTTCGAACTTTTGACGCTCCTCTTCGTATTTTTGTTGCCGTTTTTGTTCTTCAAAACGTCGCTGTTTTTCTTCCTCGTTACGCTGTTCCCACCATGTCCGTCTCTCTCTTTCCCACAATTCAAACTCTTTACGCATTTCTTCCATTTGGACAGACATGATCATTACGTCAGGAAGTGCTGTTGCCTGTTCTGAGTTCAACTGCCTCTGTAGATTTTCACGCTTTATTTCAAAACGTTTTATTTTCATCTCTTCCTCCAGTTTCCTCATCTGGTCCTCCTGCTCCCGCTCTTCCTGCTCACGCTGCCTCCTCTCGTTCTCTGTCCTACGTTTCTCTTCTGCTTCCATTTGCTCTTTGTTCAATTTCTCTTTAAATGTCTGTCTTTGCTTCTTCACCATATTGAGTTCATGATTATATTTCATATCATGTTTTCTTATTTGTCTTTCCATCTCTGGCTTTTTTTCATCCATAATTTTTTTCATCTCGTTCGTAATTGCTTTGTCTGCCTCTTTGAACATCTCTGAAGTGTAGTAGCCTCCTTTGTTTTTGCTCACCATTTTGTTGACTTTGTGGATCAGCTCTATAACCTGCTCTCGGTTTTCTGAAGTGTTGTTGTTAAAGACATGATACCGCCCTCCACATTCATCGATCACTGCACGCACAGGGCTGCCCTTGCTCAGGTAACTCTCAATTGTGGTGTCTCTTAGTTCATCTCCCCTTGTGAGCAGAACCAGGATGAATTTTTCGGATTCTTCGCCAAAGAATTCTTTGATCAGATTAACAGTTTCTTTCTCTTCTTCTGTGAATCGTCCAATTTGCAGCACTAGTAAGAAGGCATGAGGTCCAGGAGCTAGCAGGGTAATGCAGTTCACCAACTCCTTTTGGACCTCAACGTTTGTCAAAGTTGTGTCGAACAAACCAGGTGTGTCTACGATATCAATGGGCCGTCCATCAATTGTTCCCTCTACTTTTCTGCAATGTCTTGTCACAGAATTTTGACTCATTTGGGATGAAAACTCCTTTCGTCCTAAAATTGTATTTCCTGTCGCACTTTTGCCACAGCCCGTCTTCCCAACCATCACCACTCTCAGAGGTTCATTTTGACTTGGGGACATATTTCGAGGCAATGTTTGTTTTTCTGCATTTCTCATTTTCATCACAGAGGCTTGTCGGGTTAGCAAATTTACACTAGGTTTAGGGAATTCCTCCTTTGAAAAAGATTTCCTGCTGCTCATGTCACCCACCATTCTCAGCAGCTCTGGGACCTGTTTCTTGTCATTTATATTTAATATGAAATAACGCCCTGAACACATGTGACATAGAGTTTTGATTTCTGTGTTGTATTGCACATAGTTCCTGACTTCTGCTGCTGCTGTTCCTGAGTCGACAGTGAATAGAATTAAAGTTAATGCATTAATGAGAGGTCCACAAGAGTTTTGGAGTGCCTCTAACTCAAGTTTATCCTCAATGCTGCTGGGACCTACCGGCAAAACCAGGGCGAAGGCATGCACACCTTCGGGATGACAGATAGAAATAGACTTATATGCATGTTTTGTTACATCATTTGGGGATTTTCCATGCAAGGATTGAAGATTCACAATAGAAACTGAATTATTACAAACCTGTCCTTGGATCTTATTCTGGGTCAAATCCAGATGTTGTCCTAAAATTGTGCTGGCTGCCGAGGTTTTCCAGTCCTCAAACCTTCCACTAAGTACTACATTGAAACGTTGTACAATCTCATTTTCACTCATTATCTGTTGTGTAAATGTGGTTGATCCTGAACTGTTAAATTGACTCTTTAATCGATGTCTCATTGGCGTTGGCGCATTGTTATTAGGGTTAGATTTTTGGTCATCTGTCAGAACTTTATTTTTCTCCAATTGTGACAGACACTGTGCGAAATTAAGGTCCTCTGAATTTCTTTTATCCCAAGGCCCCGTAGAGCTGCTCGGACTTGGCTTCATGTAATGTTGTTCCATTTCTTCTCGTGGAGGTTGGTTCTGGAGTTGTCTTTTCACATAATTTGGTTTCTTGGGTTCAAAAACACCTTTCAAGTTTAATGATCCAAATTTTTGCTCAAACTCCTGTGTTGTGGTGAAGTTCAGATAGTGGCCATGGTTTTGGATGACAAGCTCTTCAACTTTTTCCATGAGCGCTTGGATTTCACCTACAGGACACATTCCAGCATCCAAAACAACTCTGTGGTGGCGATGGTTGCATTTTTTTATGATCGTTTGAACACATGAATTTACATTAGTGCTGTTATTCGTAGTAACAACTATTGAAAACTGAAAAGCATCCTTTTCAAAAAATGTCAGGGTACGTTGTATTTTTTCTCTGTCTAAATCACTAAAATTGTCTCGGTCGACCAAAAGTAGCAGTACATTTGGCCCGGGAGAACAGCTGGCCACACACTGCCTGATTTCTCGTTTTATTGTGTCAGTAGAAACTTTGCCTCTTGCTTTGTATATGACTAATGTTCGCTGGTTCCACAATCCTCGTATATCCTGACGGAGTGGTGTTGTTTGTCCTGAGATGAAGTTAGCCAAAGTGGTCATGTGCTCAAATGTTTTCCCAAACATTGCTATGCGAAGCTCAGAGCCTGAAAAGAGAAAGCAAAAAATCCAACTCTTGTAAGCAGACAATTTTCATTATTTTCATTATACCACTTTTGTCACATCTTAGAACCCTAGTGCTAGATACAGACTTACATCTAATTACTCAATTTAAATTGATAAGCACTTTAATGACATTTGTGAAGTAAGTTCCTAAATGGCTTTGTTCCCTTTGCACAGAAGCTACTCCTGAAGTTCAAAGCCCCAAAAATATTGGTATCCATGCTAGTGTCCAGATGACTGACTACTTATGAATGAGTTGCTTTGACTTTACCTGAGACTGCCATGACTTGTTCCGTGATATTATCTGGAAAAAAAATGGGATAAGTTGTAGAAAAGATGATCCAGAAAAGGATTGGGTGAATTTCACATGGTCAGATGAAACTAAAATAGGGTATAACTCTTTGGTAAAAACTCAACTCATCGTGTGTGGAGGAGAGTTGCATCCAAAAGAACACCATACCTATTGTGAAGCATGAGGGGCGGAAACATCATGCTTTGGGGGTACATAACAAAGTATCGATGAACTTTGTTATTGACCAAATACTTTTTCCATCATTATTTGCAAATACATTCTTTAAAAATGAATGTGAATTTCTGGATTTTTTTTTTCTCATTCAGTCTTTTATTTAACTTTGAGGTATGCCTATGATGAAAATTACATTCATTACATTAGAACTTGCACAATTGTTGGTTGACGAAATACTTTTTTGCCCGACTGTATGTATCTACTTCTACTATAAGTTCAAATGCATTTTTTCCACCTGGCCCTGCACAGGAACTAATTATTTCTCTTACAGACATTACATTTCAAGGTGTAGTGTGAAACCTTTTTGGTGGAGGGTCCGACTCTGATGCTTGCTTCACTTGCTTGCGTTAGTTTATGGGTTTCCCTGGATTGTTTCTCACTCTGGCATTAATAACAGTCCATCTACAGTGGGAACAAGTAAAAGACCACATTTGTAAGGTAAAAATTACAAAAAGTATGGATGAAGATAGGTGAGATTTGATTTTTTGTCATAACTTTTGATTTAATTTGATAAAAAATATTTAGTAGTATTCTGTCCCCATATTATGATATACTGGTTTCTATGCTATACAGCACAGCAGTAATTCTTTGCTTTCCCAGTAGAGATCACTCTTTAGTTATTAACTTTACCTGTCTGACTACTACTGCATTATTTACTTTGTTCACCACCTGTTGGCCATCACATGTAGGCTAAAGCAGGCTAAAACTCCATTTTGAAAACAGGAGGAGTTCACCTGCAAACCGCTCCTCCCTGAGCATCTTTTCAGTTTTATCTTTGGCGATACATACTCAAGTTACCTATGACTATGAATGTTGTGTAGAACTGTATTATTTGTTGAAAATACATCGTCTTTCATGTGTGAGCTGGCTATAGTAGTTTGTATATGTGCTAGTGGTGTTAGGCACTAGTCGTTATGTGTAATAATAAACACTTTTTATTTATTTAATGTTTGTACATTTATGCAATTATACCATATACTTGCAGTTTTACTAAATTAAGACAAGGAAATAGACACCTGCGGTTTCTTGTGTACTTTCTTTAATGTTAAGCTCCCTGACATAAGTTAGACACTTTACTGAAGGAAGAAGAAGTAGCCACATAATTTTCTAGTTCTTTTGTTCTGCATATTGAAATCTGGGTCTGAAGTGAATATAGTTTTGTGAGTCTTTTCACAATCGATCAGCCAGGTACATTGTCTGTCGACAAAGCAGTTCTACAGTGAACTACAGCCATGTGACTCACTAGGAGTTACAGAGCGTAAAAGGTTTTTTTACTGTAAGAATAAACATTTTAACAGATACTCACGTGCAACTATAGTAGTTTAATAACATACTGAGGAACATTCACACGTTAGTTTAATCTATTTATTTATTACAAAAGAATTTCAAGAAATTATATTCTTTGTACACATAAATATTGTGCCTGTTTTTAATGAGCTGCCATAGAGCCAGTTGGATTAAGAATCATTTGACATTTTAAGTATTATGTAATTTTAAGGAATATTACAGTAAGTTATATACCGTATTTCATGCATAAAAGCAAAACTGCCAAATCAATAACTTTATTGAGAAAAAAAAACCTATACTCTCTCACTATACTTGAAGTTTTAGTCAAACTGTGCTTCATCAGGCTTGAGGACAGCTCTTTCCTTCTTATGTAACTTTAGGGAGTGTTACAGCAGACTTCCTCCAGTCAGGTAAACACAGCAAAAACTACATATTTACTCCTAATTAGGAAACCCAAAATCTGATTTTTATTATTAGTAATGCAATCACAATCATCCAGCACATGCTCATAATGAGAAAACAATTATCATATAATTATATAATGATTATTGGTTCATAAGTTATCTTAACAGTATCTTAATAAAGAACTTTTAAATAGTGTCATATTTTAGTGTCATATTTTACCATCATTATCTATAATGTTGAGATGCCACTTCATCCCAAATTTTCTTTTTTCTTCTTTCTTTTTATTAATGTTTTAAAAAGAGTAACAGTATAAAATCATGTTTGAACTTTTTACTATTTGAAATCTAGGAATGTTAAAAAGACCCAAAGAATTACGTTACATTTTTTACATTTAAACAATATTTACATTTTATTCCTGTGTGTTTGGTGCCTGTGCATTTTTTTAATGTTTGTGGTAAATGTAGATGACACAAAACAGAAGCAGTTTCTAGTTTTCATTTGTTCACTTCCATTTCCAAAGCTATTTGTGAAGCTCATGTTAATACCTGGTTGAATAATTTGCTACAATGAATATTGAAACATCATCTCATTAAATCAACCTAAATCAATGAAATAAATGTGTTCTTCAAACTAACAGAAGTATAATGAGTGAAGAACAGTGTGAGAGTTTGGAGACACTGGTCAACACAAAAACAAACAGGTCTAAAACATCTTTCTGCAAAAGATAAAACAGTTTACATAGATGCAACAAGTATATTTACCTTGTTTTATCTGATGTCTTTTTCATAATAGCGATGATCCTGCAGCCACAGTCTCATCAGGTAACTATTGAAACTATGCTGCTGTTTCTCGGTCGCATATCTTCACAGAAAGGGCGTGTCTCCCAAAAGCACAAATACGGGAAATGGATAATTATGTGAAAATGAAATGACTGTCACTGTTCTTGCATAAAAGTTCAATTACAATAAAACTGGATATTGTTTTTAAGCTTATTTAAGCAAATTAACTTTCCACACGAAATAAAGGAGACGTAGTTTTCTTTCTTGAAAATTAGATTCTCAATATAAATGAGTATTTTCCTGTTACTAAAAGATACATAGATAGATGGGGAGGACGCCTTCCTGGGGAGGTGTTCCGGGCACGTCCCACCGGGAGGAGGCCCCGGGGAAGACCCAGGACACGCTGGAGAGACTATGTCTCTCAGCTGGCCTGGGAACGCCTAGGGGTCCCCCCGGACGAGCTTGAGGAGGTGTGTGTGGATAGGGAAGTCTGGGCGTCTCTGCTTAGACTGCTGCCCCCGCGACCCGGCAACGGATAAAGCGGAAGAAAATGGATGGATGGATGGATGGATAAAAGATACATTAAAACAATTATTAGAAACTGTATAATCTTTCTTATTAGATTTGTAGTTCCTTAACATTTAATGAATGGTACACCTTTTCTAAGATAAGATATGGTTTTATTAGTCCCACAGCAGAGAAAAAGAAAGAAATATGTGAACTCAGGTTGCACACATCAAACAAGGTCTATTATTCAAGATAATAGAAAGAATATAAAATAATAAGATAATGAGTTAGAGCGAGAGAGAGAGAGAGAGAGAACGCGCTCTGGTGTGTACTGTCTGGTGCACACTGGGGTAGTTCATTAATTAATTTATTTTCTACCCTTTTATTAGGCCATTTCTGGGTCAGGGGGGTGACAATCGGAGCTGCCACCCAAGTCTCATAGTACCAGTCCCTCTCTGATCCTCTGCAGGTGGTGGGTCTACAGTAAGATGGCTGCTACTTCAGTGGTGCCACAGCCCTGATGTTTCAGTGGGAGCTTCAGGCAACGTGGGGTTAAGTGTCATGCCCAAGGACACGACAGCAGACATTAGTGGGAGCAGTTGGAGTAGGTCCCGTGGTGGGCTTAAACCCACAACCTTCAGGCGCAAAGGCCAATGCTCTACCAACTGAGCTACTGTCGCCCTGGGGTGGTCTTGCTTTTAATTCCAATGTGGTTTTGCGGCAAATGGCAATTAAACAGAATCTGAATCTATCATTTATTAGTTTCACATTTTTAGTTAATTTACAGAAATAAATTGATGTTTCTTATTTTCCAAGTTTCACCTGTGAGCTCCTAATTGTGTGAAGTGACAAAAACTGCACAATAAATACAAGAAGCCCTTTATTGTGACACACAGACCACAGTTACATTGCATTGCAGACATTACATTAATAATAAAGTGGTTTTAGTATTGAGTAACGAAGCATGAGAAAAGCATATTAACATGGCTCTTTGAAATCAAACACTGAATGCACTCTATGGAAAGTCCCATTGTAAAGCTTCAGTTATTCAGGTTCATTGCCAAACATCACCACCTGCAAATAATGAAAGCATGAAAATAACGCAGAGTACTGCACAGTAACATTCTCGTCATTCCTGTCATTACTCTGCTACTTGAGTTCCTTGATGGTATTTGGAACATCATGAATATAAGAGCGAATACTCTGAGAGATCACTTTAAGTTAGGGAAAGTCTTCTAGGGTCAGTGTGTTATGTCTTAAAATTAGAAATGAGAATTTTTTGCTTGTGATTTGAACTTGATTCTGATACTATTAAAACTGCAGCTTCAATTACAGAACAATCATATTATTATTTTTACCAAGTCATATGTTTTATTGTGCAAAGATAAACAAAAAACTGTCAAATGTCAAATTTTATCCTATCTTTGAAATTATAATTAGTAATGATACTTGCTGAATTTTGAAACTTGTTATGATATTAGTTTTGGTATCTATCAATTGCGATTTAAAATCAAGATAAAAACTACCTGTGCGTAATTCACTTCTTTCTGCTCCACAGTTCATAGAAAATTGTCTTTTATTATTTATTTTGTGCATAAAACAATTGTTTACTGCAAGGGAATCAAACTCACTTTGGTCAAAAGCCAAATTAAAGTGGTTTTCTTAGTAGAAAGTTAGAAAAATACATGTGTTTGATAGAAGGATTCATTATATTTAACATGAGTTTGGATATATTATAGTTTTTTTCGTTACAAACTTAGTTACTGTTTAGATTGATCCAAATCTGAACCAAAGGTGAATAAGGATTGTAAAGATTTTAAGATTTTATAAGTTCCAACAACTTCACAGTAGAACTACAGTGCATATAGTGGCAATAACAAACACGTTATACAGACCAAAAATCAATGTTGTGAAACCATTTCAATGTAAATGATTCACTCTTATTCTCTCTATTCTGTAGCCCTGTTCTTGTGTGACTTTGTGTAGTTCATAGAATTGTGCAGGCCTTGTTGTCCATGGTTGTGTCCGCTCTGTCTCTGATCCAAATACCAATCTCCTTCTCGTGTTGCTGGTGAAGCATTATCACCTCCCTCTGCAGCTCAGGGTCTGTCTTACGCTTTTGCAGCCTCTTCATCTCTTGTTTCTGCCTCTCTTTCAGCAGGTAGAAGTTTTCTCTCTGTTTTTTGTCTTGGGTTATTCGAAGTAGCATAAATTCTTTGCTCATGCGTTCGTTGTCTTTGGCCTTGACGTAGTCGTACTTCTTCTGAAACTCGTTGACTTTCTCAGCTTGTCTTCTAACCTCCGCCTTGTGGTCTTGTTGCATCCTCTTCAACTCCTGATGATATTTCTCCAGTAGATGCTCTTCTTGCTTGCTCCGCTCTCTCTCCTGGTCTTGCCGTTTGATCTCGTACTGTGCGTACTTCTCACGCTTTTCTTCATATTCTTTCTGGACCTTGTTGAACCGTTCTTGTTCCTTTAATCTACGCTGTTGGTCCTCCTTATAGCGTTTTTCCCACCATTCCCGTCTCTCCTTCTCAAGCCTTTCCATTTCCCTGCGTAAGTCCTCCAAGGCAGCTGACATCACCATCATTTCAGGCAGACTTGTGTTCTTCTGCCCAGACTCTATCTTTTTCAAAAGATTCAGTCGCCTTTTATTGAACTCTTGTTTTTTTGCATCGTCCTCCTGATTTCTCCTCAGTTCCTCCTGTTTCCTCTTTTCCTTCTCCGCTATCCTCCTGTGTTCATTTTCCTCATAGCTATCCTCTAATTCTGCGAGACTTTCAGACATATTTTGTATTTCTATTTGTGTAATAGAGTTTTGCATCTCAAACACTTCAAGATCATCATTTAATTTCCGTTGGAGTTCATTTTGTAGTTTTTCCATTTCTGGCTTCTTTTCTTCTAGCATTTTGTCCATCTCCTTCTTAATTGCATATTCTGCCTCTTTGAACATCTCTGAAGTGTAGTAGCCTTCTTTGTTTTTGCTCACCATTGTGTCGACTTTGTGGATCAGCTCTCTAACCTGGTCTCGGTTTTCTGGAGTGTTGTTGTTAAAGATATGATACCGCCCTCCACATTCATCGATCACTGCACGCATAAAGCTACCCTCGCTGAGGTAACTCTCTATTGTGGTGTCTTTTAGTGTATCTCCCCTTGTAAGCAGAACCAGGATGAATTTTTCTGATCCTTCTCCAAAGAATTTTTTGATCAGATTAACAGTTTCTTTCTCTTCTTTTGTGATTCGTCCAATTTGCAGCACTAGTAAGAAGGCATGAGGTCCAGGAGCTAGCAGGGTAATGCAGTTCACCAACTCCTTTTGGACCTCAGCGTTTGACATAGTTGTGTCGAACAAACCAGGTGTGTCTACGATATCAATGGGCCGTCCATCAATTGTTCCCTCTACTTTTTTGCAATGTCTTGTCACGGATTCTTGAGATACTTTGGATGAAAACTCATTTTTTCCTAAAATGGTGTTCCCTGTAGCACTTTTGCCGCAGCCCGTCTTCCCGACCATCACCACTCTCAGAGTCCTTTCTTTCTGCATTAAGTCTTTTGTATAGGATTTCCTTTTGCTCATGTTACCCACCATTCTCAGCAGCTCTATGCCTTGTTTGTCGTCATTAGTGTTCAATATGAAATAACGCCCCGAACACATGTGGCATAGAGTTTGGATTTCTGCGTTGTATTGCACATACTTCCTGACTTCTGCTGCTGCTGTTTCTGAGGTGACAGTGAATAGAATTAAGGTTAATGCATCAACATGGGGTCCACAATAGTTTTGGAGTGCCTCTAACTCAAGTTTATCCTCAATGCTGCAGGGACCTACTGGCAAAACCAGGGCAAAGGCATGCACGCCTTCAGGATGACAGACAGAGATGGCCTGAGAGACTTCCTTCTTTGCTGTGTCCAGTGGTTTTCTGCTCAATTCAGGAAGTTCTAAAATGGAAACTTGATACCCATATAATTCTTTGTTTTGTCTAGCAAACACCTCATCTGATACATTTGACAGTTTGAGCTTTAAAATACCATCACTTGCAATTTTCTTTAATTCTGTGAACCTTCCAAAAAGAATAATATTTAGGGGCTGTTTTATTTTTTCGCAATCCGTCTCTTTGAAGTTATATGGCCTTACAGAAATTTGGGGTTTCCTTGGATTAACTGCTTTCTTGGCTAGAGGAGGATGTTCTTCACGAAGCGGCTGTGATTGGACTGAAAACGGTTCACACGGTGTGGTTTTTAGGCTCAGGTGCTGCCCGCGGTTTATGTTCAACATATCTTCACATATTTGCATCAGATCTTGAATGTCATGAACTGGACGTCGCTTTATGTTTAGTTTTATATTGTGATGCCTTTGGTCACACTTTTGTATTAGATTTTGTACATACATATTCAAACTGTCCTGTGTCGTCACAACCAGAGAAAACTTGAAGGCATCTTTGTCAAAAAAGCTTAGTATACTTTCTATTACTCTGCTGTCAAACTCTGTGAAGTTATCGGGGTTGACCAAAATTAGAAGCAGGTTTGGGCCAGGAGGACAGTGGGCCACGCATTGTTCTATTTCATGTTTTACTTTATCAACGGCCTGCCACTGCTTTGCCTTAAAGATGATGAAAGGAGTCTGTTGCCATGTGTCTTGAACATAAGACGTTCTGTTTTTTTGTGGCTTTCCAGTTATGAAGTCAGTCAAAGTTGTCATGTCCTCGAAACTATTCCCAAACATTGTGATCCGGAGTTCAGGGGCTGAAAAAACAAGAAGAGAAGGATTTCACATTTTAAAAAGCATGTTGCTTACTAAATAGAGACTAAAACATTGGTATTAAAATGAAGTATAGGACCCTAAAATAACCATGTTTGATATTTATAGCTTCTAACTGTGTGTCAAATTAAAAGCATAACCACACTATTTGTTTTATTGTTGCATAATTCTATTTTCATAATCCATGTGATTTAATATATTCTTTATATAAATGCCGAAACCTTCCTTCCCCGAGAACCTGCTATTAAAAGGAATGAGTCACTAAGATGATATCTCTATGACCGCAATGACATCAAAAGGCAAACAAAAGACAAAAGTCAAGAATATGACCAAAGTGCTCAGACACCTGCAAATACGTCTTTGATATAGATTGTATTCATACAACCATAAAATATCTGTCCTTATAATCAATTTAGATGGAATTGTCAATTAAACAACACAAATAGGCTAAAAGTGAATGAATGGAAAAAAAATCTGTATATGCTTAATTTTGTTATGTGCAGATTGTCTTGTTAACAGAAGCAGAAAACACAACTGAATGTAATATTTCAAAAAGATTGTCAGGGCTTCGGAGGGACAGGCGCCTGAAATGTTTTTGTTGCGTGTAACAGAAATCTCCTGGTGCACCAGTGCACCCATGACACTTTTGTCTGTCTTTTCAAAACTGCACACACATGGGTAAAGGATAAAGTGCAGTGGTCCATCCTTTTGATCGCCACTCGCCAAGTCTGCATTGTGTTGTGGCTTCATAGTTTATGCTCCCTGTGTTAGTGCTTCACATTCCTGTTCCTTCAGTTGTGCTTAAGACTGAAAATATAGTCAAAATATTATCCTATAAAAAATAAGAGAAACTTTATTTGTCCCACAGAGGGGAATTTTTGATGGGAAAGAAACACTGTCTATTCCCTGGCATTACATTGGCGCTCTATCACTCTTTGTTTGTTTACATACTCTTAGAGGAGAGTCTGCCTTAATTTTATGTCTCATCCCAATAACCGTGAAAAAAATTGAGGTAGGATTGTACTAACTTAAAAAAATAATTAGAAGGACAGAAAACTCTGTGATAGAAATATAACTTTTAATCATAATCTTCATAAAATTTCAAGATTCAAGCAGCAAACGGAGAGACAGCACACAACACCATGGATAATTCATTGGCCGGTGTTCTTGTACTGTGATCATCAAAATGGGCATAAAAGTAAATATACATTTTTTTCAATGTTGTATGATATCATAAAATGAATATTGAAACATTTGTAAATACTGAGTACCTGGTGCATCTAACGCAGCGCTGGCAACCATCTAAAAATGTTAGTCTGAAGCCCAGAGTCAGGGGCTCACAATTGTTTGAAATGTTAGAAAAAAAAATCCGAAAACACACAATGGCCACGAAACAACAAAAAGAAAACTCACCATATTTACTAGCCATGTCTCTTCAGTTTCCAATGGGACAAAGCCGCACTCTGAAAATAAAATACTATTATCAATAGTTAAGTACTACAGTGGTTAACAAATATTCTGGTGCTTTACAAAAAAAAACATTTGAACAAGTATGTATGGGAAAAAAATGATTATCCAGTACTTTAAAATAGCTCATAACCTAAAAAAGGATCAGTTATATAAAAATCAATGTCTATCTAATGATATATTTGGATATAACGGTATGAACCAATATTTTAGTGTATCCTCTCAATATATTACCACAAAAGTGCAAAATGAATGGCCACATTTTAATAATGACATCTGTCTATTTAAATGTTAAACACGTCTGTTATGTCATTAGAAGCAATTAAATGACACATTAGAAGCAAATTCTGTATTCTTTAGAACTAAAACTATCATGACTCAATTCTGTCTACGAATTCTGAAAATATATTTTATTACAAGGTCAAGTATAACGCTTGACATTTGCTTCTGGCACAAATAGTTGACAATTAAAAACAAGTCCTAAAATATTTGTTTTTATGCATGTCATACTTTATAATAAATGTTGTCTATATGGTTTATGTTGCACCATAGGCTTAAGCATCAAATTAGGTGCAATAGATTCCAGCCACATGCATAACATAACTTACAGCTAAACAAAGCATGGATGGTATAAATGTAAACATACCTTGATATGTCACATGCGCTTTCATCAGAGGAGAAGTGGCTCTGAAGACCTAATTTTTAGAAAATCTCTGCAGAGGTGACCGTGAGGGACTGATGTAAGACGTGTCTCTGTGGAAACTCCCGGGGAAATGCATCATACTTCAAACAGAAAATAACAAGTGAGAAGTAGTTTCTGCTCTAACAAAGCAAACGCAACAACAACAAAAAAACATAGACTAAATACACGTCCAAGAACGTCAGTGTTTATCATGTCGACTTACAATAAACCAGGTGACGATGTGCACAAAACATTCCTCCTTCCCGTAGTTGCATGCATTGTTTCTGAGTAAAACTGGCAGAACTTGTCGGTCGAAAATATGAGCTATGAGCTATTGACAGTTCAAACTCAACCTACACTGATAAGAAATCAGTATTCTATCCAAGTCAAACAACTGAAAAGATACAGAGGTCATCATAGATTAAGAACACTTTCTACGTTAAGATAACTCAGCAGCGTTATACATTACATAAATAAACAACAACAATAAAATGCAATCCATGCCTGAAAAGATTGTGAACCCCTGTTGTAATATGTGTGAAGAAGCTGTGAAGAAAGTAAAACATTTTCATATGTTAAAAAGGAAACACTCACAGTAATATATTTTACATTATGTTTTAGAATTTTAACTTTCCTCATTTTTTTCCCCAAAGATACAAAGTAAACATGTTTGAAGAAGATCCTACAGTATACTTTCATTTCATTTCAATGGGTGGCATGAGCATTGGGTGGCCACCTCCCCACCCAGAAATTGACTAATATTGATTTGCCAATATATTGCGATACAGTGGTTTATTGCTGAGATTATTTATCAATAATAACCTGCGAAAGGCAAAATCTGGGAGCTTTATTTTGTACCATTATTATACTGTATGCTTTAAGGCTGTAAACTTGGATGCAGTGTGGCTTTGATATTTCGGCTCAGTGCTGTGAACTCTGTGTCCCTCATGTGGAGATGAGGCAACTCGCCCACGTTGTATATTCTCCTCGTGGTGGAGAGCAAACGTGCAGAGATAAAGGCGTTCTCCTGATGCTTAGGGGCTGACAAATGTTAAATGATGACTTATATTTGACAAACTCAAGGTGTCCATCCTTGTCCTAATGTCCCAAAAATCACTGTCAAACCTGCCCTCTAAGGATTCATGCATGTGCTTTTGGAATGTGGCCTCGTCAAAGACCATTAACACAAAACATATTGTATACATTTTAATTGAGAGCTGCTCTACTGCGTGCGTCTCAAGCTAAATAAATACACATAGACCATAATTTTGGCTCAACGTTGTCGCTGTTCTGCTCCAAAAGCCGTGTACAATGTTTCTAATTAATGTTACAACTAATGAGATTCATTAGAATAGAGAAGTCTGAGGTAATTTCTGCTATTCCTGATTATTCACGTATTTTTCTCACACTGTGTTTTGCTCACAGCTTTAAAGTGGTTCTCACCCCCGCTCCTCGGAGCTTACGTCACTCACATTTCCTGTTCAAATCTTCCTCTAAATGGGCGTAGCCTGGAGGACTGAAGGGGGCGTGAACGAGACTGGGCCGTTTACATTGCTCTGGGCGGGGGGCTGCTGACGTCAGGTCCAACTTGCAGACGTCAGGTCCAACTTCTGTGCCAGTGTTGGCGCCAGATTCAAAATTCAAATGTAGTAATACAGGTCGCCAGCAGATGGCGCCTCACAGACGGTTTTAGGCAGAAAGTTTAACTTTCAACTAATTTGCACCAAAGTGACAAAATTATGACCAGGATATGTAGACAACACTATTGGACACTCATTTATACCGTTTATCAGCAAAAAAATGTGGATTTGAGGGTGAGTTGTCCTTTAAGGAGAAACAATATTAAAGTTTTTCTTTGTTAAGCATGATGAAATACACACCATCACATACCATCTTAGCATTTTTTGTCTTAGGGTGTATTCAGACCTGCACATTTGCTCCACTTTAAACGGACCAGGATTCGTTTGGAACTCTGATCCAAATCTTTTATGCAGGTCTGAATACACACAAACGAATCCTGGTCCGGACCAAAGAACCGAACCGAGACCCACTTTTTGAGGTGGTCTCGGTCCGCTTCCAAACGAATTCTGGTCCAAGTCGAATCAGGTCTGAATACATCCGGTGTCAATCCGACACAACTCCAAGATACGTGCGCATTTTTTGGGCTTAACAAGCCGCAGACAGAAACTGTGAGGAATTAGCCACGCAGCGGCTAACTATGCTGCTAACGCTACACAACAACACTGAGCTGTGTGCAGACCTGGAGCAGTGAGGAGACGCTGTGCAACAGGCTTATGGAGTTAGAACTGTTCACAGTATACATTAATGTTAATGGCAGCATCTTCAAACCATTTGCATTATTAAAAGCCTGACACTGTTTGACTCACGTCTCAAAGAGCAATATTCCGCATCATGTAGTGAATTGTGTTCTTTGGTTCCTACCTGATCCTCAGCGTCTGATTGTCCCGTGGTTATTATAGATCCATGGTTTATCCACAATGCTGAACAGGGCCGTTATTATCATAGATCCATGTGTGGGAAAGGACACGGAGCGCACAGACAGTCTCCTTCAGCTTTCTCCTCACGCATTCTCCAACACTGTTCCAATATTTAAAACAACGTGTTTGGCCTGTGTCATATGAGCTGCTGTTGATGTTGAAGGTGGTTTTGCTCTAAAAAGAGCAAACATAGGCAGAGCAGACATGCTGCACATACGAGCCCTCAATGTTTTCCGCCGGTTCCGCGTCTATCCTCCATGAGCTCTGTCCAATAGGAGCGCCGATCGTCACACGTGTCAATATGTTTATATAAAAAAGTTCACTTGCAAAAAGGACAGTCTGAATACGAACCGGAGCAAAAGAAAAAAGTTTGGTCCGCTTTTGATTCGGATCAAGCAAGCGGAGCAAAGGACTTTTCAGGTCTGAATACACCCTTAGATTATCACACTGTGTAAATTTGACACGTGCCATCCCTATAGTGGACCACTAAAATAACCGTTAGTGACAGGTCTGACAAACCCCTCTCTCTATTAACCTTCTACAATGTTATTATTGCTTCCTGCGCGGATGGGAGGAGAGTGTCAAAACACAATAAGGTGTGACCGGCCCATAAATCAAGCGCACCCCACCGTCCGCACGGAGACACGGGTCTTCATGCTCCGACCCAAGCACCGCCCGCACCCCGATGCGCCTGGGCTTAACCAAACAAGGCTCCCCGCGGCGCCCTGTGTGCCTTCTGCTTTTGGGTTTGACGTGTTTAAGTTACGTAGGACCAGCAGGACGCCTCTGATCCAAACAGTTTTACGGAGTACATGAGAAAAGGGCCATAATCAGCCTGTAAAAACACAGTGCTCTTGGGAGAGGCCGCTGCCATAAATCATGCGCTAATAAACCCCCGTAGACTTACAAGGCTTTTTGTTCGCCGTAATAAGACAGTACAGGATCCTACGGCACAGAACACAACTTTTACCTCATCAAGCAATAATTCACCAGCTCTGGATTCAGCAGAAAGAGTTGTTTATGGAGTTTGAAGGCCGTAGTTTTTGTAGTTATTGTGCTTTTCTCTTAACTATTCTTTCCAACTGTCAATATTTTTCTTTGGAAATCTAAAGCTAAACTAGAGATTGGTTAGCTGCTATTAAAAGTGATGATGCTTCAGATACCTGTTTGAGTAATTTCAATTTATTCTTTACAGTATATCCCTAAATCACAACTGCAATCATCTCGGAGATCTGTACAAAGTTTGGTGCCATTGGTCCATAAGGGGCAGATGACCAATGTTCATTAATGTCCTGGATCATCACTTTCCTTAGACCCTCCTACATCAGGAAAGGACTCAAAAGTCTAGACTGTATATTACGGATGGACTGACCAAGTACAGATCTGAACATTAGCTAGCTGAAGCCAATTTCCTTATACAGGCATTTGTTTCGACAGGATTAGCCTAGTGCCGTAACAGGGGCTAAGACGGTTGCTAAAGCAGGCTGGAGTTTCTATTGGGAATGAAGGGATCTGATCGGTTGATCCATTATTGTTCTAATCTAGATTTACAAAGTTGAGCACTTTCATACTGAGCTTTATTGAGCATTGTCCATCCCTATGCAGTCTATGGACACAAGGCACACACGTGTTTTAGTTAAAAGTTAAAATCCAATGATTATTTTTTAAACAAGATTTAAAACAATTCAGAAGTGAGGTCATGTTATACCATCATTTGTAACCACTGATATCAAGCAATAAAGTACTGGCTTTTCACACAAAGGAGAATCACCCAAATGTATAACCGTTAGTTGCAGGTCTTCTAACGTCTGTCTGCTGCCGCGTTGCTCTTCAAAATGTATGTTGAATATTTGAAACCTTCTGTAACTCCATAATTGTCCTTTAAGCACTGCTCATTTTCCTGGAGGACAGATTATCCTCCTTGCGCTTTCATTTTTCTGTCTGGAGGTCTCTCTTTCCCCCCTTTCCTCCGGGACCCTTCTTTTCGGTGGGAAAACCTCTTTAGCTCTCGGGCTGTTACACAGAATGATGTTTTTGGGCGAGTGACGTGTTGTTTTAACCCGGCTTCAGCACCTTAGCGACTCATTAGCACGGCGAAGAGAGAGGGAGAGCACAGATATTGTCCATAAATCACTTTGGGCAGGGCGAGTGTGCGTTATCAGAGGCCAGTGTTTTTCAGAGTGGACCTGCACAGCTTCAGGGCGACAGGGACCAATGTGAAGCCCACTGAGCTAATCAAACCACACACACCAGACCAGCGCTGGCATCACCGTCTGTGGAAAAGTTGTGTTCAGTTTTTGTTGTCTAATCAGTCTGGGTTTCATACAAGATAAGAGCAGAAAGTGTCAAAACCAGACAAAAAAAACTATTTTTAGATGCTTTTTAGTGAGAGTTATTTTGAAAAATGTTCCTTTTTGTGCTTTTAATAACATTACAACATAGTTCCTTCTTAAAAACAGACCTGGAGTTGTTTTTAGACCCATCCATTCTTACAGTATACTTCTGGCACAAACATATAACTAGGCCTCTGTCTAAAAGCTCCTGTCTCAATCCTGTAATGTCATAGGATGTCATTGGGCTCTATGACATCACAGTCAGAGAAGTTTTCTGTTTTTTAAAACAAAAGTATTGGCCATAAATTTGTTTTGGTAGATTCTTAAGTGAAATTACGTTTTTTTAAATCACCTGTCTGTGTTTTGAAAATGAAACCAATTCTCCCTCTGGTGGTAGCATAGAGAGTCACAGGTCAATAGCTTTTTCTACTAAACAATGCTGAAAATGTCTTCTTTAAGTGAGAATTACTTCTAATTTGCATTACACCCACTGGTAAACGGGGACATTCCACAAACTTCCAGAAAAATCTTTGTAAAGGATTGAAGAAGCAGGTGGATTGAAGAAGCATGTGTCTGTCTGGCCAGGCGAATAGTTACTGAAAGCCCACGTGTTTTTCAGGTCGTGCATCTTCTACAGAGCTTGTATGGACATCCCCAGAGGAACAGAGCTGCTCGTCTGGTACAACGACTCCTACACCTCCTTCTTCGGCATCCCTCTGCAGTGCATCGCTCAAGATGAGAACTGTAAGAACACGCAAAGAACGTGCAAATATTCAAAGAGCATGTTTGAACAACCTAAGAAAACAGATCGTTAGTAATCTGGACCAAAGCTGTAATACAAACAAGCAAAGAGCTGGCACATACAGTAGCTAAGTACAGGCGTGGTCTAGACTTTTGCAATGTACTTTGAAGCTCGGGTACTTTACTTTCAAACCACAAAACAGTGATCTAGTAATACCAAAAAGTTCAGTCACTAGTTTTCACATGCTAGGCCTATGTCACATCTTTAGATCAGATTTTTCAAATAGAAAAGTTAAGAGAGGACCAAGATGAACACAGCATGTTGTGGTTTGCTTGGTTCACATTTTACTTTTACAAAACTATTTCTGTTGGGACAAACATTGTCATGAATGAAAAAGTAAAGTTAGGTACCCCAGCTTTAAGGAGATATAAAAAGTGTGCATATGAGCCACAAAATTACATTTTTTCCAGCATAAATGTGACTTAATCAAAGTTCTTAAAAGTCTTTGAACAAAACCATCCAACCAAATTTCTTCTATGTGTGGTTTTACGATTTTACTTTTTTGATGACAATATTTGATCCTGGTTCCCAATTTCCTTGTATGTTCATTAAATTAGATTGGAGGAAGCCACACATATTTGATGTTTGTATCGTAAGAAGCTGCTGTCGACTTCCATTGGACCTCTCGTGTTGCACAAATGGCAGATCCCAATTTGCTCCGAAACCATTTAAGTCTGTTCGAGTTTATCTGGTTCTCATTCTTCTGCTCAGAGCACGTTCTGTCAAGTTCAAACTCGTCATCTCTGCAAAAGAAAAAAATAAATACAAGAGAATAAAGTTGTGTAACAAGCAATCAGGCTGATCTGGTTTCAGCGCAGTCAAACCGGACCTAACCCAATTTAGATCTTTAGATGAGCAAACCGCAGTATGTACGCTCTGTCAGAGGCATAATCGGGTTAAGAAAAAGTCCACGTTTGTTTTTTGGGGTTTTTTGTTTCTTTCTTCTGTCAGAATCCAGAAGAGACGAGTTTAAAAAGGAGCTGACAGAACAAAACCAGAGCCGTTTGTAAACAGAACAAATGAGAGACAGCGGCTGAGGGACAGAGGAGCATCCACAGCATCTGCTTTGAATGAGCCCACTCTAGAGACTATAGAGAACAGTTTGTTATGGACGTTAACCTAATAATATCATGTCAGTGTTTTTCTTCAACTTGTTTTAATTAACGTGGATTACATTTCAGGAGGTATTCTGTCTTTTTTGAGGTTTTAACGATTGTTCCTTTATCAAAAACAGCACAATTTGTGCTATTATCAGCAACTTTTTGCACAACTCTCCCTTCTCCATCCGTCCATACTCTTCTCAAAACTTTGTACGCAATGCTTAATCCAAGCAATGGATGACAAGGACAGTTTTTACCTTTTAAAACAAAAAGTATTGCATCCAAATTTGTTTGGGAATTTCTCCAGTCAAATTAAGTTTATTTCTAACTGCTTTCTTTCTGAGATTGTGTTGGTTGAAAGCCACTACCATTAGTTCCTGGTGTTTTGTAATGTCGCATTGACATTTTACCATTTCTCCACAATTTACTTAAGGAATTCACTTTTAAATACACAAACTGGCAAATAAAATAATCTCAGGATTGTCTGTCCATGTCGCCATTTTGGAAGGATTTTTCATCGCATTTAGTGTTTTAATTTGAGCTGGGAGTTCCTTGTATTAAAAACCACTTTTGTTTCAGTTGGTTTGTTTTGGATGAGGAAACAATGGTGAAACATACAGTGCCTTGCGAAAGTATTCGGCCCCCTTGAACCTTTCAACATTTCGCCACATTTCAGGCTTCAAACATAAAGATTTAAAAAAAAAAAAAAAATTTTTTGTCAAGAATCAACAACAAGTGGGACACAATCGTGAAGTGGAACAACATTTATTGGATAATTGAAACTTTTTTAACAAATAAAAAACTGAAAAGTGGGCGTGCAATATTATTCGGCCCCCTTGCGCTAATACTTTGCAGCTGTAATTGCAGCAAAAGGTGGCGCTACAATGTCGCTTGGGGAATGTCTCTATCAGTTTTGTACATCGAGAGACTGGAATTCTTGCCCATTCTTCCTTGCAAAACAGCTCGAGCTCAGTGAGGTTGGATGGAGAGCGTTTGTGAACAGCAGTCTTCAGCTCTTTCCAGAGATTCTCGATTGGATTCAGGTCTGGACTTTGACTTGGCCATTCTAACACCTGGATACGTCTATTTGTGAACCATTCCATTGTAGATTTGGCTTTATGTTTTGGATCATTGTCCTGTTGGAAGATAAATCTCCGTCCCAGTCTCAGGTCTTTTGCAGACTCCAACAGGTTTTCTTCCAGAATGGTCCTGTATTTGGCTCCATCCATCTTCCCATCAATTTTAGCCATCTTCCCTGTCCCTGCTGAAGAAAAGCAGGCCCAAACCATGATGCTGCCACCACCATGTTTGACAGTGGGGATGGTGTGTTCAGGGTGATGAGCTGTGTTGCTTTTACGCCAAACATATCGTTTTGCATTGTGGCCAAAAAGTTCGATTTTGGTTTCATCTGACCAGAGCACCTTCTTCCACATGTTTGGTGTGTCTCCCAGGTGGCTTGTGGCAAACTTTAAACGAAAACTTTTTATGGATATTTTTGAGAAATGGCTTTCTTCTTGCCACTCTTCCATAAAGGCGAGATTTGTGCAGTGCACGACTGATTTTTGTCCTATGGACAGACTCTCCCACCTCAGCTGTAGTTACTTGCAGTTCATCCAGAGTGATCATGGGCCTTTTGGCTGCATCTCTGATCAGTCTTCTCCTTGTTTGAGATGAAAGTTTGGAGGGACGGCCGGGTCTTGGTAGATTTGCAATGGTCTGATATTCCTTCCATTTCAATATAATTGTTTGCACAGTGTTCCTTGAGATGTTTAAAGCTTGGGAAATCTTTTTGTATCCAAATCCGGCTTTAAACTTCTCCACAACAGTATCTCGGACCTGCCTGGTGTGTTCCTTTGTCTTCATGGTTCTCTCTGCGCTTTAAACAGAACCCTGAGACTATCAAAGAGCAGGTGCATTTATACGGAGACTTGATTACACACAGGTGCATTCTATTTATCATCATCAGTCATTTAGGACAACATTGGATCATTCAAAGATCCTCACTGAACTTCTGGAGTGAGTTTGCTGCACTGAAAGTAAAGGGGCCGAATAATATTGCACGCCCCACTTTTCAGTTTTTTATTTGTTAAAAAAGTTTAAACTATCCAATGCATTTTGTTCCACTTCACGATTGTGTCCCACTTGTTGTTGATTCATGACAAAAAATTAAATTTGTATATCTTTATGTTTGAAGCCTGTAATGTGGCGAAATGTTGAAAGGTTCAAGGGGGCCGAATACTTTCGCAAGGCACTGTAAATAAATAAAAAATATGATCCTAGTCCCATCCCACTCTGGTTTATCACACATAAACAGATTATCACTTTTCTCAACTTGGTTTTTATTGTCCATAATCGCTAAATCTCTGCAGGAATAGTGTAATGGCCTTTAGATTTGCTTTTACCCTATTTCAGACTGAATCTGGTTCAGAAGAATACAGTAAAAATAATGCATCATTCTTACACTTATAGTTTAAATGTTTGTTGTTTATTCACTACATGTACGTTGGTGGTAAACTACAGCCATAGTGGCCCTGGGGCAGACTGGCAGCAGAGAGCAAGTTTTATCTAATTTAGACATGACTCGTTGACTAGTTCTGTGATTACAGTTTATGTCCTGCCTTACTCTTCAAACCTGCTGGTGCGCCTGTAAAAAGCCTCCCCAGATTGTTTTTGTTGGTCGTCTTATTTCCATAATTTTCTCGTTTGGATGATGCATTTGATCGAGCGCATTTGTATCCGAATGAAATAGAGACGCAGCAGAACAGAGGCGAGGGTGCCGTCGGCCGGTGGACAGATGGAGTAATTATGAGCTCATAGAGTTATTAAAGAATCAATGTAGACAGAGAAACGCTCCGTGTACGGCCGTGTGACAGACTGCAGCTGAGGTCAGGCAGCAAAAACACCACAGGAACTTCCACAGATAAAGCTCTGTGAAAAACTCTCCATTTGCCACAAAACAAGCAAAGATTGGAAATCAGAGGTGGCTAGTACCTGGTACAACAGAACTGTTTGTTTGTGACGCACATGTCACACAAACACTAATGCAAGGTTTGTAAGTACTAGTTAATAACTACTAATTAAATACTATGTTTTTCTCCTTTTTGTGTTTAACATTTGACATTTTTGCAATCCCTCTAATTACACAAATTAGTTATTTATTGCTAAGTTACATTACTATGTTATTACTACTTCGTTCATTTTCAACCCCTTTATTAGTCAATTTCTGGGTCGGGGGATGCTCATAGCACCAGTTCCTCGCTGATCCTCCTGCAGGTGGTGGGTCCGCGGGAAGATGGCTTCTTGACACAGCCTAGTTCTTTCAGCAGGGTGTTGTGGTCCTATTTTTATTCACCAAATGTTACTAAACTTTTTGTTGAGACAAACAAAGTGTGTTTATGAAATAAAAGGTTATGTACTGCAGCTTTAACTGATCCCTTGTATTTGAGGGCTGATGTGCTGTACTCGTGAGGATGTCATAGCGACAGACCTGTTTGGTTGATTCTGATCTGATTAGGTAGTCCCGATACCCCAATACCTGTCTAATATGATTTCACATTTTGTGTCATTAAAGCTCAAGCAGCATCATGAATAAAATTAAACTAATAAGTCACAGAGTAAAAGATAAATTTAATCAGTTAAAAGTTACTTAAAATTACTTGAAGTTTGGTTGTTATTATTATTTATGTGACGAAATAATTTTGCTGATACCAGTAGTCCACTTTCGGACTTACTGATGACAGTTGGTGAAAAGTCTGGTATCTTTTGCCAAACATACACACAATATAGATCAATCTGATGCTGTTATTGCCACTGCTCACTTGCAACACATACTGTAGTTTGCAACTTGTCCAGGAACTGAAAATACTGAAATCTTAACTTCCAACCAGAGAAATCCCATGATGCACTTCAGGACATGTTTGCAGTCGTTTACGGGGCCAAGAGGGACGATTAGATCTCAGAGTGGACAGAAGATTAGCTGGACATCTGCAGTGTTTATCCTCCACTCAATAATGATAACTTAATGAAGCGCTATTCAATCCATACAGGCAATTATCATATGGGTGATTACTGTAACTCAGCCAGAAGACACTGCAGGGACGAGACTCATTGTCCAAATATACTGTAAATCTTCTAAATTGTACTTCTATTATAACAATGTACGTGGTATTTATGGTGGGAGGCATCGGCAGCACTAAATATTTGAGACTATTTCAATATTAAAATCAAAACATGTTCTTATGCATAGTTCAGACAAAGGTGAAATGATGAGAAAAAAGCCCACAAAGTTGTAGAAATATCATGTAATTTGTCCGAAAGCCAAAGCCAATTAAAAGTGGATATCAGTTTCTCTTATTTGAATTGTGGAGAGAGCTATTTTTAGACCCGCCCATTCTCATCCCAACTGCTTCCTAATTGGACAGAATTAGTTTCAATCATTAAAGATATTTAGGGATATGAGTGCAATAATAAAAAAATTAATGTATGAAAATAATATAATAATGGTTTATGTCACTATTTGACTCTCAATCATTATCAAACCTTTTCGTTGTAGGACTGAGGGGCAGGAGCAGAACAGCAAGGGCCATGAACCACTGTACTTACTGGACCACTGCTCTCCTCTCAAAAAGCCCTTCTGTATTTAAGACGGCTTCATTTTGAAATGGCTAGATCTGCGATGTTATGTTTGATCTCCAGGTTTATTTTGAATAATTAAAAAAAAATTATAGACAAGAGCCCTGTGAGGCACTTCACTTTGGGGTGAGATCTGATTGGCTGAGTGAGGAAGGTCCACTCTTTTTCAGTTTCCTGTCTGAAGAGCTGATCCGATATGTGACCAAGAATACATACATGTGAAAACGAGCAACAAAACCAAAATGTTTAGAGAGCGAGGAAGAAGTATTCAATTTTTGTGGTTTGAAAATTAGGTACCCCAGCTTTAAACAAACCACCAACAAAATGCGAGTTGCCAATTCTTCTTTTTCCATCTGCAGTCAAACTCTTTGTGGAAAATAGGAATATTTCCAGGTTGTAAATAAAAATAAAAAGAACCAGACTGTCTCGTAAAGTTCATGTGACAGGACATGCCCATGCCTTGTGCAGCGTGTTTCTGTCACAATTGAACCATAATAGAGTTACATAATGATATCTGCTCAGTGTCATGGCCCTATCCTCGGGCTGGACCTGCTTTGGTTTGGACCAGACAAATGCTGCAGTCTGTTAGGGTCAAACGCTATGAAGCTCCGCAGAGCCCTGGCCGGGTGGCAGGGGTCGAGTGAGGACAGCACATCTCGTCGCCATTTTAACCACAAGGAAAGCCATCAGCCTGGATCATACCACTCTGATGGACCACGATGAAACCACAATATTTCTGAGGCCACGGATTACTATTTGTATGTTATACGTGTGTGGTACTATGTAAGATGTACTGTATATCAGGAGTGGACTGATGGAGTGGCCAAGTGCTGACATCACTTGTAGTTTTAATGCGAAAGAGGCTGTTTAGAGCTAGCTTGATCAGGCTGTTTGAGCGGAAATGCGATTTTTTTGTTTTATTTTTATTTATTATTTTTATTATTGGCCGAGTTGCCAAGTACCAATCAGGAGGTCCTTCCCCTCTCATGCTACTCGCTGGCTAAAGCCGAATTTAGCATCAGAATGCTCCAGATTGGTTAGTTGTTAGGGCACATATCTGGAATTGCAAAGACAATAGAACATTATAAGCACCATGATTGAAGAGAGCGATGTTTTTTTAAAAGGCCTAAAATGGTGAACGTCACATAAATGGCAACTGAGCTGGAGGAGTTTACATTATTTTTCCATTTGCAGTAAAACCACCAAAGTCCCCAGTGTGCACCAGACAAGTACAGAAATAAAACAAAAGTGCAGGAAACAAATTGACACGGTGAAATCGATCAACTAAAACCGTGAACACTTTACTATTGGGCTTCATTGAGCTAGAGAGTTAGTATTGTCCATCTATGTACAGCGGTACTTGTTAGGCCAAGTTAAATATGTTGGTTTATCTCAATGGTCAGCTTTAGTCTGTTTACTGTATATCTGCATAAAACCCCACCAACAAGGGGAGGTGTGTGAATGTGTTTATGGGATATGATGGTAGGAAGACCAATCCGTGGCCGTGTTCTAGTTCTTACTCCTTCTCAAGTGAGCCTCGGCATTCCTTCATCTTACTGTTAGCCTTAATCTTTAATGGTCCACAAATTGGTGCAGTTCATGCAAGGCAGGAACTTACAGGAACTTCAGGATTTTGTCAAGAGGAATGAGCTTCACCATCAGAGAGGATTCAGAACCTTATCCTCAACTCACACAAAAGGCTCAGAGCTGTCATAGATGTTAAAGGGGAAACACTCGCTACTGGGGGATGGAGACTTCTGATCAGTATCAGAAGAGGAGTTAGTGTTGTCATTATAATGAAAACATGTTTCTATAAATGGCTTAGCACAACTACTGACAATGAGTGGGATTTCATGTCTGTGTCATTATTCATAATCTCTGAAAGATGGCCATATACTGACATTTCTGTCTGAACGCTGCCAAGCACAACTGTACACAAACGGAACAAAAAACGGCATAAGGTTTAGGGGCGGGCAATGAGAGCTGCCACCCAAATCTCATAGCACTAGTCCTTGATTTCCCAAGGACTGTTTTTGTCTACCTAGAACATGCACCATCTCTATGTTATGAGTTTTACAATTTAGTCAATAATTGGATTTTACAGAGTTTGTCCATATTTGATTGACTACGGCCGTGAGGAAACGGGGTGAAGGACACATGACCACACACCACCTGATCACTCAGGTTTGGTTTGCTGATATTAAGCAAAATAAGTATATGCCATTGTATAATTTCATGTTTCTGGTTGTGCACAAATCAAATTAAGTCATAATTGCTCATAATTAAGTCACACCGCTTCATTAAAGCTTGTGTAACTAACTTTCAAACCACAAAAATTGCAAATATGTAATAATTACCATCTATCTAGTTCCTCATTCTCAAAACTGCTCTATCAGGGATTTCACGTAATTGCTGGAACGACTGCTGTGTGTGAATTGACTGTATACAATGTACTCAATTAAAGCTGGGATCCCTAACTTTCAAAACCACAAATAAATCCTCGCTCTCAAAAGTTTGGTTCTTTATAGTTTAAAAAAATGAGGACCAACCTAAGCATCAAATAGTGACTCTCTGGGCTCTTTCAGGTTTTTTAATTAGATTAAAGCTGCACTAACTAGCTGACCTGTGGCTTTTCTCAAGAAACCGGGGGCCAGTGGTCCGCTGTGATTGGTCACAATCTGAGACCCGAAACCAAGCCCCGGCGATCCAAGATGGCGCCCTATTCAAATGAATGGTTGTGCTCAGTGGCGCTTTGTGACGGCATGGGGGCTGAAAGATTAGCGGAAGTTGCCTGAAACTCGCAAAGATCTATGGGAAACTCGCAAAGATCTATGGGAAACTCGCCTGTATTTGGGCATCGTCTGGTCCTCCCTGTTCTGCGCAGTGGAGGATCTCCCATAATGCGTTGCGCCAAACACGCGTGTGTGGGTCTCACACCGGGTCTCACGCACGTGCACAGAGGGGCTCGGCCGCGCTCTGACCAATCAGAGCAGTTCATCAGAGCGGGAGTTAGAGCGAGAGCCAGACGAGCAGAGTTTGTGGCACTAAAGTGTGGATTTAAACAAAACCGAACGATTTAAGAAGAAAAAAAGTTCAGGATGACAAGGGACACTAAAATCCCCACAAAATCCGACCTTTATGAAAGCTGTAGGTTCTCTGTCAGCTGAGGTTGAGCTGTTTTAATATGCATTGAGTTCTATGGGGAAAATTTCTGGGTAGCCCACGTGAATTTAGTCTGGTTCAGTCTGCAGTACCGCGAGAATCCCCTGAGCACATGGGTTATTCAGCTACAAGCTAGTAATACCCTATCCAGTTATTATAATAGATCCATGCCCGAAACACATTCTCTTCCTTGTTTCACCAAAACTCGATCTAAAATATAATGTCACGCCAGCACAAACCTGCGCTACTTACGAAAATAAAGTCAGTTAGTGCAGCTTTAATGCAGCATGTTGTGGTTTGATGTTGTGGGGCAACAAAATGAACAAGGTTTCTTTTTGTTCATGTGATATTTATGGTGAGAAAGTTGGGTACCCAAGTTTTAATAAGTGGTGATCCAGGAGACTCGACTTTCAACATTTTTGAACATTCATCAACATTTATTGACATTGGTCATCTGCCGCTTATTGACCAATGGTTATATGTGTTTTTGTCTTGAACTGTTTGATTCTCTGATCTGTGTTGGCAAATTCAAAGGTTTTGTAAAGTCTCCTGAGATAACAACTGTTGTGATTTATGGCTATACAAGAATACATTGAATTGAATGAGTTCTTCTGTTCCCCAGTGAACGTCCCAGCGTCAGTGGTGGAGGCCATGTCACGTCACGACTCTCTGCAGCCATTCTCCAAATCCTCCAAACCCTCGTCCTCCTCCTCGTCACCCGCCCTGCTCCTTCGCTCCATGGTCTTCCCTCAGTCCCCCTCGCGGAGCTTCTCTCTCATGGACAAAGTGGGCTCCGTGATGCCCTCGGACTCGGGCTTCTCCGCTCTGGGCTCCAAGCACCAGCGCGTCCTGGCCAGTCCCACCTCCACCAGTCAGCTCAGCTCAGAGTTCAGCGACTGGCACCTGTGGAAGTGCGGCCAGTGCTTCAAGACCTTCACCCAGAGGATCCTGCTGCAGATGCACGTGTGTCCCCAGAACCCAGACAGGTGAGGAAGCTACTAGAACTGGCATGTCAAACTCAGCAAACAAGTGCGGCCCGCAACACCATTTTTAGTGGTCCCTCAAATGATTTTCAATTATCATAATTACAGTAACTTGCAGCATTGATGATTATGGGATTCTATGTACTTAATTTTGTGATATATTTTTTTTAATGTTACCCACTAAACATCCGACGTCCACTCAACCTCCAGATCACGTCAATATCGCGTCGGTCGGTCGTGACCTTTTATTTACGTCCAAACGACGTCTGTGCAAGGTGCGCATCTGGACGTAAAACAATGACCTCCCATATACGTGGATATGACGTTCAATCCCGACCTCCCTTAGACGTCGAAAACAGGTCATCGGCCGACCGACGCAGTACGTCTTGATCTAGCAGTACAATATATAGGCTGTGAAGCAACACAAGTGTACCTGACGGTAGTTTAGTGGTTAAGCAAATGTGTGCAGCCTTGGTTACGTGAGTTCAAGCCCACGTGTGTGTATTATTATCTTTACATATTTGTTTTGATTTTTAACGAACAATTTTTTTCTGTTTGGTTAAAGACTAATAAACACTCAACATAGGATTACGTAGTGGCTAATAATAAAACTTGTGAATGTATGCATTTGTTGTGCTAACAATCTCAAGTTTGCAAATATGGGGTGAGCACTTGAGATTTTATGCAAATGCATGGGTTCACAAGTTTTATTATTAGCCACTACATAATCTTATGTTGAGTGTTTATTCGTTTTTAACCAAACAGAGAAATTGTTCGCTAAAAAGTGAAAAGTCAAAAGTTTTCCGACCGGGATTTGAACCCGCGTCGTTGGGACTGAAGTCTCATTACGCAACCGCTACACCACGGACAGGCATTTTTTCTGACTACTGTGAAAAAATAATACATAACACCCTAAACAACCGACGCACACTTATGCGCTGCGCGAGTATAACTTATCTTAGCTTTACAGCCTGACACGTGAGTCGCTCGGTCGAGGACCTGTTTTCCACGTCTAAACGACGTAAGGTGTGCATCTGGACGTAATGCCTTCCCAGACGTTGATATGACGTTGAATCTGTACCTCTGTCGCTGCCCTGCTTTATTTACTTGGAATCACCCTCTCTAGTAAGTACAGTCTGCACAGTTTTTAGATATAGATGTATCATTTCCACATTGAAAAGAGTTGGAGACAGAAAGTAAGTTGTTTTCTCACGTATACGTGGATTTTGTTAAGTATATTTTGTATATTATCTGTATTTTGAATTGCCAGTGCATGAATCTATAATAATAACGGCTGGCACTGCTCAGCTGAAAGGGAGACACCTTTTTTTGTTTTTAAGTTAAAGTTTAAAATATGATATTGTTTTTCATATTTCAAACTATTTTTAACACATTAGAATGCTTAGGTTAGACTGTCCAACAAACTATGTGTTAAAAAAGGTTAAGATTCTTGAGTTTTAAAATAATAATTCAATTCTTAAATGTAAAGTTACTGTATATTTCACAATGGTTTATAAACTGCAGAAAGACAACAGTACTTAGTAAACTAAGTTTAAAAACAGGGAGATCAGCTTTAATATTTGGGACACTCCCATCATTTAGACACCTGTGATGTCATCAGTTGGAGTTGAGAACAGGTGTGGGACCATGTGGGACCATAGGAGCACACAGATGTTACCTGCTGCAGAAAGAGAGTTTAATGTTAATGTATTGCTTTGTTTAATAAATGGATTTAATGTCTTCCCAGGTCTTCAATGTCAGAGACTTTCACTTCTTCTCACTGTGGCTGTTTAAATGAGCCACTACAGTTGTTATTGTTGTTATTGTTAGCTGCAAATATTAAATATCCATTCATCTGCTGGTAGCAAGCTAACTAGCGCTTGCAACTCTATTCAATTTCTTACTTTTTCTTATAAACTTTAAAACCAGCCATATGTTAATTAAAATACATTTACCTTTGCTAATGCAGTCAATTATTGTGAAATCCATAGAGTATAATTTCATGATTGTTGCAATAACTAATGTTCTATGTGTATTCCTAATGTGTCATGTGTGTTTCAGTCTTACAGGTGTCAGACTGTGTTGAAGGTGTTCAAAGGTAAGAATCACACTCTCACACATTGATTGTTCTTCTGTATTATTATGTTGTTTTTAGAATAAACCATTATTTGGTGTATTCTCTTTGAAAACATCTATCTTTTTCTCAGATTGTTCAGCAACTCACTCAAGATGAGGGAAAAGAGCAACAAGGGGAAAATGCCCCCTCGGAAATGCAACATGTGTAGAGTAATACAGGGTAAGTAGCTTTCAGGGCTCATTTGTGTCCAAGTGCAAAACAAATGCACATTTGCAATTGTTTTTACATGGAATTACTCCAATGACCAAAGCCTTATCCCAAGTTTCTCAGACGGAGTGTCTTCCAGTGTCTCGAGCTAGTGCAGTGCCAAGGTTTGTATCACATGGTGATGGATCGAGTGGTTTGAGGCATTAATAGAAAGTTATGTGTTGTTATATCACTTTGCCACATTATGTTGAAACTAAACATGTTCCACATTTTCAGGTGCTGTGCTTGGACCTTGTGATGAGAGAAGACCAAGAGAGGACACATGTTGGAACATCAACGTTCAATAAATGCATTCTTCTGCCTTTCAGATTGTGTTTTTACATCTGGGGAACCTAGAGTGTAGCTTGTGCCTACTGATCCAATACATAGGCGCTACAATCATGTTTTTTTACTTTGGCATGAACTGTTCAGTACAGTAGTGTTCATAACACTGTGCCCTGTGTGCTTTAACTTGTACTTTGATGTAGAGAAACATGATTTTTAATGCAGCTCCATTTGCAATAATGACTGATATCCTTCTACTACAGTTGTTCTAATGATTTTTGAATGCTGTGTTTATCGTTTATTGCCCAGAGTCAGAACTAAACATGATAAAGCTGCATTTCAGATTCACAAGGCTAAAATCTGGAACGGTCTTCCTGGAAATGTGAGACAGGCTTCTTCTTTGACAATGTTAAAATCCAGGTTTGAAACACTTCTGTTTCTGCTTCAACTGAGAGATTTTATGAGAGATTTTATTTGTATCTTTTTAATTTACTGTCAATATTTATAATTGTAATGCCTTGTTTGATTGTTTCTATCTTTTGTTCAGTGCTTTGAGTTTCCTTTTGTTTTGACTGTGCTATACAAATAAACTTGCCTTGCCTATTGCAAAACGTATGTCTCGACCAGTGAGTGATTCTGCAGAGGTTAAGTAGGTCAATAGGACTGTAAATGGACGTCATATAAACGTAAATATTTTGGTCATATAAGACGTCGAGAGGACGTCGGACCCGACCGGTTCTGTACCACATTGCAACCTTGAATGAACGTCCAGATGACGTTGAAATTACGTTGTATTGACATCTGCTTGCTTAGTGGGAACAACGGAAAACGAACGTCATATGAAGGCAATATTTTGGTCATATAAGACGTTGATAGGACGTCGGACCCGACCGGTTCTGTACCACATTGCAACCTTGAATGAACGTCCAGATGACGTTGAAATTACGTTGTATTGACATCTGCTTGCTTAGTGGGAACAACTGAAAACGAACGTCATATAAACGTGAATATTTTGGTCATATGAGACGTTGATAGGACGTCAGACCCGACCGTTTCCGTACCACATTCAAACCTTGAATTGACGTGCCATCAACGTAACATTTGGAGGTTGAGGTGACGTCGGGAAACGACGTCGAGAAAACTTTCATTCTGCACCCACCAGTGACCTATATTCTACGTCGGACAACGACGTTCAAATTACGTTGATTCAACGTCGGCTTGCTTAGTGGGTATAAGAAGTTAAGTTTGGCCAAAGATTAATTTTTTATATTATCTATTATCAATCTTTGTTACGACCCAGCTCTGCTAGGGTATGGGGAGGTAACAAAAAAAGACAAGATGTATGAATGGATGGATGAATATAAATGATAAGTTGAGTAAATCAAAAGTACACAATACGTTAGAACAAACTTGAACTAACACAGAAACTAAACCCTACTGCTGTCTCAACAAAAGTGACACAAAACAGAACCTCTGGAATAACAATGACATATATTTATATATTTGGCCCAGTTGTGATTGAATCCAAACCTACAAAAAAATAATAATCCAAACTCAGGTCAAATAAAAGGAATTTGTCAAAATACAACAGTAGTAAAACATTGATAATGAAATTCAAGGTACGATTTTTATTGAAATATAGTGGGGAGGCAAATAAAAATTACTTACTTAGTAATTGTAGGCTTACTGTATTGTAACATAGCTCATTGTTTATATGATCATTTAAGAAGAAGATTATCCGTTATTCGTCCCACAATGGGGACATTTCAGTTTGATGAATACACATATATATCAAGGCATACTGTGTACAATTACATCTGCGCTCCTTATGGGCAAAGTGGGTTAAAGTGTCTTGCCCAAGGACACAACGACAGCAGACATCAGTGGGAGTCGGAGGAGAAGGTTTTGCGGTGGGCCATTTATTGTTATATTGAAAAATAATTACACAACATGAAACACTGATCTTTCAAAGCCAAATTTAAGTCAGAATCATCATATTTAATCAAGTGAATATTTCTTATGATGTGTAATGTTCAACTGTAAACAAATGGGAGTATCACACGCTATTGTTGTTTTTGACGTTTTTTGCTCGCACTGGGGTTCTGTCTTTCTGTCTGTCTGTAAACTTGTGGGCTTCGTTGGACGACTCCATCTGTTACTCATGTTTCATGTTTGTAGTAGTCTGATTTGTTCACAACATTTTACTTTTACAATGCTCTTTCTGTTGGGACAAGTATTATTAATGAAGTTTAGTAACGTTAAATGATCAAGGCCATGTCCTGGTTTAGTCGTCATTTCTCTTTTCACTTTGCTACACACACTTTATCAGTTTTTCTAAGCTTTCCTTGTTTTGCTTTCCACACAAAATCTTTGCTCCTCCAAACCACGTCTTCTTTTTAATTACCCCAGACGTTGAACCAGTCCCACATTGTGATGATTTGACATTAATCTAATCCTCAATACTTTGCCCCCGTCTCTGTTCACTCGTGTGTTTGGACAGAATGTGTTTTGGTGGACGCGACATCTGCCAGCTTCATTACATACCGCCGTTCGCCTATATCGGAAGTATCGGACATTTTTTGCTTAGCTTTATTTTTTTTTCCGGGAGCGGAGGGGGAAGGATAAATCACGTTTGCGGTTGGGTTAGAAATACCTCGCCTTACGGTGACAGCGGCGGGAAAACAGATGCGACACGTTCGATAAACTAATAGTCATAGGGAAGAAAAATGTGCCCAGACACAGAGAGGAGGGGCCTGTCAATACGCACGCTTTATAGAGACGAGCGGCAGGATTTCAGCTGATGGAGGCAAACAAGAGACAGCAGAGAAACACGAATTAATAATGTGTCTCTTTCTGATTTCTGCTTTTTATCAATAATATAGTTTGTCATTTCTCCCCATCTAGACGCCTTCGGTCACCTGGTCTCAGCGTTAATAACTGTTAAAATATCCACACTTATTATGTTTATATATGACAAAGCTACTCATAAAATGTCACAACAGATTGTAGTTTAATAATGTGGGAGGGCAGGTGAAAAAATGGTTCTTGGTAACTATGGTAACTGTCAAAAATCTGATTCTGGTCTTAGTTTATGCCTAATTTCTCTTTATTCCTGGGCCGATCCACATGAAATACAGTGCCAGAAGTATTCGGCCCCCTTGAACCTTTCAACATTTTAACACATTTCAGTCTTCAAACATAAAGATATAAATTTTTAATTTTTTGTCATGAATCAACAACAAGTGGGACACAATCGTGAAGTGGAACGAAATTTATTGGATAATTTAAACTTTTTTAACAAATAAAAAACTGAAAAGTGGGGCGTGCAATATTATTCGGCTCCTTTACTTTCAGTGCTGCAAACTCACTCCAGAAGTTCAGTGAGGATCTTTGAATGATCCAATGTTGTCCTAAATGACTGATGATGATAAATAGAATGCACCTGTGTGTAATCAAGTCTCCGTATAAATGCACCTGCTCTTTGATAGTCTCAGGGTTCTGTTTAAAGCACAGAGAGAACCATGAAGACAAAGGAACACACCAGGCAGGTCAAAGATACTGTTGTGGAGAAGTTTAAAGCCGGATTTGGATACAAAAAGATTTCCCAAGATTTAAACATCTCAAGGAGCACTGTGCAAGCAATTATATTGAAATGGAAGGAGTATCAGACCACTGCAAATCTACCAAGACCCGGCCGTCCCTCCAAACTTTCATCTCAAACAAGGAGAAGACTGATCAGAGATGCAGCCAAGAGGCCCATGATCGCTCTGGATGAACTGCAGATGTTGTCATTTAGGACAACATTGGATCATTCAAAGATCCTCACTGAACTTCTGGAGTGAGTTTGCTGCACTGAAAGTAAAGGGGCCGAATAATATTGCACGCCCCACTTTTCAGTTTTTTATTTGTTAAAAAAGTTTAAATTATCCAACAAATTTCATTCCACTTCACGATTGTGTCCCACTTGTTGTTGATTCATGACAAAACATTAAAATTTTATATCTTTATGTTCGAAGCCTGAAATATGGCGAAATGTTGAAAGGTTCGAGGGGGCCGAATACTTTCGCAAGGCACTGTAAGAGCTATCACAGCGTTCCACATCTTCTTACATATCTACAATGGTCTAATTATTTTAAAGTTGTCTTGAAGTAGTAACAATATTCAAAAACATTTGCTGGGTGTTTGTTTGAAGAAAGGCCTTTCAGAAACATGAAAAATATGGCAGGTTTTAATCTAATCTGTCAACTAATGATCTAGGTCTAGAAAAACATGGGCATGTTCTTTTTTTAAATAGAATTTCAGAACGTGAACACAACCAAAAATATACAAAATATTTAACATAAATAATAATTAATATTTTAATAAAATTATATATGTTTATCACAACAAAGTGAAAATAAAACATAAACAATAAAATTTGCTCTTTTGCAACTTCAGTTTTTTCGCATTTATATTTCTCACTTAAGCATGACACTGTTTATTTTTTATCTTTTTTTATAATAATAATAAGAATACATTTTATGTATATTGCACCTTGCTTTTCAAAGAAACCACGTGCTACAGGTTATAATTCAAAACACAATCAAAAAAGTGCACAAAAGAGTATACAAACCTTTTAATATACAATTATAGGGAGAAATGATGTAAGATATGATATGAGGGCCTTTATTCATCCATCAGAGGGGATTTCAGTGTTGCATCACACATTACAGAATATGGCAGTTTCAGAAATATTAACCACACTTTGTTATATTTAAATCCAACATGGTGTGGTCATATTGAAGACAGGCAGTTGTTAAGAATTACATTTGACTGGAGATTTACCATAGAAGCCATACATGTTTGGCCAGAGTTTTTTCATAGATTTTGACGTGGACCGGGTTATAAACTCAAAAAGACAAGTTTGCATCACCTGTGTCCTTTAAAGCCGCATTGCGTAACACTGAAGGACATTCATTCAGAGGCTAAAGAGAGTTTAGCAGAATATAAGGCCTTTTGACAAACCTGTGAGCAGTTTGTCAGGCTGTGTTCATAAAGCTCATACATATTTATTGATGTTTACTGAAGACGGATGGCTCCAGAAAAACAACATGGCCGCCCTCAGCCACAGGTTTGTGCTGACTCTCCGATTCCTCTTCTCTCCTTCTTCTTCTCTGTCTTCAGCTCCTGTTCGAACAGAATCCATCAACTGCAGTTTGTCTGAGCGCTGCAAACGGGGAAATCTACAAGAGTTAAATCCACTACGATTATTTGTCTTGGTTTGAAATGTTTCTTTAGGTCAGTCAGCTCTAAACGGCCTCGAGATCACATTTCCAACTGGCTCGAGGCTCGTAATTCTTGTCCAGACACGGCAAGCTTTTTATCCAGTCTCATTAAAGCCCCAGTGCGTAACTTCATAGCAGAAAAGAGACAAAAATAATATAATAGCATATCATTGTTCCATGAATGGAACTGAAAAAAGTCTTAAGAACACAAACCTGACTTATACTTGTAGGCCTGGTCGGGTAAATTCAGATGAGATAAACTTTATTGATCTCACAATGTAGACATTTAGAATATATATATTTATATTTTTAAGTGGTCACAATATTCAAAAACATACAGTATGTAGGACGTTGGCCAGTAGAAAGGACATTCACATAAGAACAATATTATCTGATGATCTGGGAGCTTGGCATCCAACTGAAATAGAAATGTTGTAGTAGTAGTAGTAGTAGTAGTAAAATCTTTAGCTTTAGCATAACAAGGAGGAAATTTGTTTGTATTTAGAGTTTCAGATGTACCAACGACAATTTCAAATACCTGTAATGGACAATAACTTTTGCTCTCGATAAGAAAACAGAGAAAGTAACCATCTGGTATAATAACATTGATTGTCTTTGTTGGTGATTATCCCGATTGCACAAAAAGATCCATTATTTTCAACCCTATTTTTTGAAATAAACAGTACGAATGTTTACGGGTCCCCTCCTAAGACGTGTGTGAGATTTCAGAGCTCCAGGCGATCGGGCTGCTGTGATGGATGCGTTCAGGGCCCTGTGTTTGGCTGGGACATTAGCACCTCGTCTGTTTCGCACTTTGATCGCATCGTGGTTTGGTTTTGTTTACGGAGCGCGGTGGATGTGTTTGAACGACGGTGGGGGTCCCGCGGATCAGGCCCCAGCGTTGGCTCTCAGTCTGGACTCACTCTGGACTGACTTCTGACGGCTTTCTCGTTTCACACGACAACAGCTTCATGTGCGTTCAGGCTTCTGTAAATACATTAGCGCTAAATGTTCGGAGATTTGAATTTGCCGTTTAATCACAGAACTCAGCAGCGGTTTGTGGATTAGAAGGTAAACCTCTGGGTCTACTTTCGCCTCGTAGTTTACCACCCACAGCGTGTGAAGGGACAGGTCTGCGCACAAATCCAACAATGAGGACAATAATACAATACCTGCTGCTGTAATAAGCTAAAGATATAGAGATTTTATTTTTAAAGTATAGAGTTAGAAAGGATAGAGTTATAATACTGAATATTCACTTATCTCGTATTGTGTGCTCCTCATTTCTACTGTTCTGTAACTTGTGATGCAACAGGACAATAAAAAAAGCTTGATAAACAAGTTGAGGATGTTTTGAACAAGTGGGTTTTGAGCCTTCGGTCCCCCAAGGTTCAGCACTTTGTTCTGATGGGAGTGAGGAGGTTGGAGAGGAGGATCTGAGGCGGTGGGAGGGACAGTGCTCAGGGAGGAGGTCGGGGAGATATGAGGGGGACAGGCTATGATAGGACTTGTTAGTGAAATTATACATGTTTGAGTAATATATAATCCCATTCCTAACTTTTAGACATTGACCGATATGGCGGCCGAAAGTTTAATGGGAAGCCGAACATCAACATCTGGAATGGATCGACCACTGCTCCTGACAGAGGCCCTGGTGGCATTTAAGTATTGGTCAAAAGCAGAGGACAAAATTCCCTATGTGGACAAAAAAGTATACCTACCCCTATAACCCTATTCTGGGTTAGCTATTTAATACCATTATAGTGGTAGTCAAATCCAGGCTCAATGATTCAGAAAAGAGAAATGTTGACTTCTATGTTTTTTTCACAGAGGATAAAGCAGATGCTGTCCAGTACTCAATATTACAATAGAACCAGTGTAATCACAATGTGCATTTATCTGGCCCTGAGACCATGGCCTTCTGAAAAACAAGTTGAATAGTCCTGCTCTCATTTGCAGCCATCTTATTTAAAGTATGTTTCTGTTTTGGAGTATAAACACATACTCCTTTTGTGTCGTATAGATCAAGGCGAAACACAAAAACTTGGCTTCTATAGTGTACATTTTGTCCATCACTCATTTCTGCACAGGTTTAAACAACATTTCCATCGCCTGTCGCCTAAACCCGCGGATGATTACGACCCGTTTATCTGGGTTTTCGGGGGAAAGCAAAGACTAATGTGGCGTTTCCATGCGGCTCTTCGACAGGCTTTTTTTTTTGCAACAGAGCCGGGTGTCGCGCGCTGTTGTCTGAAGGCTGAGAAATGGACAGTTTAGACGTTTTCCTGTGAACTGCCTCCAGACGAGCGAGCGCACATCTGTCACAGCGACACAAACGAGATGAAGAGAGAGCGGAAAAGCACGAGACGTTTGGAGCTGTCGATATGAGCGGCAGACTTGTGTAGACCTGGTTTTTATGCTTTAAGAGCAGAGGCCATGTTGTAAAATATGTATTAAAATCATGAGGAAATTGGGTTTATTTTTTAGGTATATTTGCTTTCTTTTTAACAAAGGCTAATTCTATGTCCCCTGGTTGAATAGGGGTTGGATGAAGCAGACACATATTTTCCCAACCCCGTCTCATCCATTCAACACAATAATACAATTAATCTACATTTAGAATCCATTAATGATACTGTGCAGTTCATACAATAATATACAATGCCCAATACCATAGTCTTGTCTGAGGACACAATGACACTTTGGCACTTTAAAGCCTCAGCCGCCCCACTATGGCATCTGTTCCCAGAGGTCTCCCATCACAGAACTAACCAGTCCCTGCCCTGCTTAGCTTCTGAGGTCTGCATTTAGGAATAATAGTGTATGTGGATGAACTTTTATCTGGTCATAGAGTTCATAACCTTAAATTATGATGAGATATAATGTTTCCTCTCACAGTCTTCATGTCCCGTTTGTTGCTCTCGGGAAAGCAGTGCGATCTTTAAAGACCGGAGGTTATCGGCTCCTCGCTGCGTGTGATGAAGACATTATGAACTTTATGCTTTAACAGCTCCATCAATACTCCACCAGAGACAGACAGAAGGGGGGAGATAGAGCGTGTGGAGGGAGAGGGAGGGAGAGACACGTTAAAGCCCCATTATGTAACTTTTCAGCTACAAAATGAAATGGGACAGACACAAAATGTTCAGTTTTCGGCTGACGTTATACAAAGAGGGACAGTGGTTCTGAAGATGACTGAAGAGGGTCGGGTTCGGACATGTTTCTGTTATTGTTCAAACTAGGTTGAAAACATATCTGTTTAGCTGTCCTTTCAAATGATTCTATTTTGTACTATTTATTGCTTTTACCTCTCTTTTTCAATCCCATTTTTTTATGCAGCTCTCTTTATGCATTTTGATCTGTGTTTTGAAATTGCTCTTGTGAAGCACTTTGATTTGCCTTGTACACGAATTGTGATATAGTGCTTTCGGGTGGAATTTCAAGATGCGTCTAAAATGCATTTTCTCAGGTCAACTTTATGTAATTTAACGTAACCTTCTCTAAACAGTTGATGTCCAGGTGTTCAATTATTCACTACTTTTTTAACAAGGAGGGTAATGGCCAACTTAAGAAAGATGTTTGACCCATGACCCAACTGATAGATTTCCCTGTTTCATTAAAGTTAATAAAGCGTGTAAATTAAAGTTCAAAATGACTGCTCTGGGAGTTCTACTAGTTTCATAACTCTGGTAGTCCTAGTATTAACCTCTACCACTTTTTTACCCTTGTGCTGAATTTTGATGATTTTTGACCACTTGACCAGCCCTGTGTCAGGCCCTTCTTTGTCCTATTTTAGGGTATTTTTCTTCAACTTTTAATCACTGTGGTGGGTCATTTTGACTCGGAGACAGCACAAGGGTTAAAAAGTAAGTCTTAGCAACGGTTATAGAAAGTTACTAAAATACTGTTAAAAAAAAGTTTGCTGAAACGATAATGAATGCTAACAGCTGCTAGTAAACAGTGCGTTGCTACGGTAACAGGCACTGGCCCAGCTGTGATTGAAAACCAAACTTAGCTCAGACCCAGTATCGTAGTGGGAAAAAACAGGGCAGCTGTGGCTACAACTCCCCATGATTCTTTAGGGAGTGGAAGGAAAATGCGATATGTATCTTGGACTGTTCAAATAATGCTTACTACAAAGAAATGTCACTCATTTTGAGCACAAACACAAACAGACAGAGAGATAATAACAAAAGGAGGCGCAGTGAGGAGGATGCGAGAGGGAAGGGGCTCGTGTGATGTGAAGTGTGCTTGACCCGCTGGAGAATGTTGTTGGAGAAACATTGATTTTATTGATGAATTTCTGCAGTGATTTATGTCCAGACTCGAGGGACCAGCTTCATACAGTCCTCAAGATCCACTAGACCGGAACTAGACCTGCTGCAAGCCTGATTCAAACCTGGGCGAGACCTGGTGCAAGCATGATTTCTGTGCTTTTTATAGATTTAGTTAGTTGTAGTTTATTATGTGGAGAGCGTCTGACTTAAAAACCTATATATATTCAGTATGTAAATGACGTCCAGTGAGACTCATTATTATTTTTGTTGAAGTAAATTGGATCTTGTTTTCGACGCTGAGCTGCTCCTCTGCTCATTTAGTCCTTGTTTAGTCCTAACCACAATCTAATGTCCCAGAAACATGAACGCTTTTAAATACATTACGCGTTTAAACACATTACGCATTTAAACACTGGCTGAGAACATTAGTGTTGTTACAATACTCAAATTCTGATACCAATGTATAGATTCTCAAATTCATATTCAAGTGTTAGCTTAAAATGTTCTTTGAAATATGGATTAATAAAAGGTTCGTCTTTTTGTATGTTCAATATGAAATGTAATATATTTATTAATTATTAAAGAGTCCAAGCAGATCTACAGGTGATGGTTAGAGTGTTTCTGCTCAGTTATTTGAAAATTAGGCTTACACTTACATTTCTAAATACTAAAAGAAGCTTGAGGATTTGTTTTTGATAATATATTTCTTAAGGATAACATTTTTCCTAAAACAGAGCAGGAAATATCACCGTTTGTTCTGCGTTCGTTTAGCTATGAGTAAATGGGTATTTATTAAGGAATATGTTTGCTTTTGATTTTTACAACCCTTGAGAAAAACACAGAATCAAAAACACTGGAGACAGTTTGGAATCTTCAAAGATATTCTGCAATAATCCAACTTTCTTTTTATGCCGCATTATACTTATACAAAGTAGGATCTGCATCATTAAACAGTACACAGACATAAATACACATGCAAAGTTCAATAAATGATAAAAACACTGAGGAAATAGAGGGCTCTGGACAGTGGATCTTTAAAAAATAAATGTGCTTTGCAAAAAACGTTTTCTGAAAAGAGAAAAAGTTTAGAGTTTGTTGCTTTTCAATGTATAAAGATTTAGATACAGAGAGATTCTTTAGTAACCGTAGAGCATGTATGGTTGTTAGTTTATTGTGACAAAAAAAACTGGTCTCAGAATGTTGTGAAAATGTATTATAATAATAAATGTTGCATAATTAAGGCACTCAATACTTGAGAAACATTGAATGTGAACTTATATATATTTTATTTATTTATTTCAAACTCATGATAAACATAAAAATATAGAGAATGCTAAAGGAACAGATACAAATGCTGTTTGAAAAAGGGGTTGGACGAAGCAGAAGCTTAATTGGCTCCAACTCCAACACACACACACACACACAGGCCCAAACACTCTCTGACCCAACACCTCTCTCCCGTCACTCTCTCTGTGCTGAGGACATCACTCTCTCTCATCCACTTTTTTCCACGGTGTTGTGATCAAACTTCTTTAATTATATGTGAAAAATGTTAACTCTATTCACAGAATACTCCATGATTTGAAAGTAGGTCTAAACTCCTTAAAAACAGTTAGAATAATAAATGCATGATTGTAAGTTGTAAATGTGTTTGTATACGTTGTGCTTATGTGCTATTACTGCTTTGGCGTAAACTGGGGATCACGCATTTTCCTGTTAAACGCTGATTATGGCTCCAATAACAGCAGCCGTTGAGACTCATTTGCATTTTTGCGGCCCCCCTCCATCTCTTTCTCTCTCCCCTCTCCTCTCCTCTGCTCTATAATAAACAATAAGTCTGCTTTAATGTCCACAGCGCCGGCTAAATAAATAATATCCCGACATTTATCAAGTTAAAGTATGCACAATCGATGGCGTTCTTCATAGAAAACGCCGCTAATAAATGTGCGGGGGCGTGAGGCGTGAACCGATGGACCCGCGCTGATAAATGCACTGCCCCCACCTCCGAGCGCTCTGCAAAAAACACACAAAAAACAAGGAGAAAAGTGGAAAAAAAACTGCAGCTGAGAGGTTTTCAACACGAATCTGTGTTTGATTTATGAGCTGCACAAACGCACTCTGTTCACCACTGTTTACCTGTTTGTACAGCGCCGAGCAGGGACGTGGATGTGTTTGTTTGGACCTGGATTAGATCTGGTTTAGACCTGATTTAGACCTGGTTCAGATTTAATTTAGACTTGGTTTAAGCCTGGTTCAGACCTGGCTCAGACCTGGTTTTTAGACCTGACTCAGACATGATTTAGATGTAGTTCAGACCGCGTTTAGAAATAGTCTTGACCTTGTTTAGGTTTGGTTTAGACCTGGTTCAAACCTGGTTTATATCTAGTTCAGACCTTCAGACCTGGCTTAGATGTTGTTTTGACCTGGTTTAAACCTGGTCCAAACCTGAATTAAACACTGCAAGATACACCGATTGCTCTAATTTTTGACGGACCCGGTTCAGACTGTTTTCTAGCCACATATTAAACTTGACTCGGACTCGTTTTAGTCCTCGTTCTGAAGCTGGTGTATTTTTGTTTTAGCCTTTTCCTCGGACCTGATTTAGCCTTGATCTGGTCCTGCTTCAGTCCCAGTGTAAGATGGATGTGCGGCTGCAGCTTGGACCCCTGCTGGTGGACAGGGGTCAGGGTTCTTCTCCCTTTTGCCCAAATCGCAGTGAATTTGCAGCCGGTGCACCATCCTTCTCTGTCTGAAGCAGCCTGTCTTTATTTAGAACAGAGAAATGTGCAGAGGAGACGAGACATCGGGGACTGAACTGAGCTGCGGACCACCGACAAATACAACGCATGGCTGTGTCTCATAATGTATACATGATGATATTACACTGACAACTCCAAAATAGTAGTAGTAGTAGTAGTCGTTGTACTGGTGGAAGTAGCTTTAATAGTAGTTGTTGTTGTAGTAGCTGTAGTGGTAGGTGTTGTCGTAGCAGTAGTAGTTGTAGTATTAGTAGTAGTAGTTTAGGAGTAGTAGTTGTGGTATTAGTAGTAGTAGTTTAGGAGTAGTAGTTGTGGTATTAGTAGTAGTAGTAGTTGTTGTAGTAGCAGTAGTAGAAAGGTATTTGCCAACAGCTGATAAGAAAATCCATCCAAAAAAAGGACAAACAGTTTAACCCATGTTCATAGGAATTTAGCAATTAAGAAAAGTCTTTAAATGACAGCAAAACATGGTCGAAAAAGCTGTGAAAAGTCTGTTTTGTGTGTTATGAAGTCCAACTTTGTCTTAGAACAGTCAGTTTACCACACATCATGGAGGAGATATAGAGAGAATGGAAAGAAACACACACAACTACAGTAGTTTCCAGGTTTAAATAATCAGTTTTGTGGCATAAAAACAGGAAGCAGAAATATGAAAGAAAAATGTGTTTTTATAAATATCTATTCCCAGGTTTGTGTGATTAAAGTGAGGCCGGCGCAGGGTAAAGGATGGACTGTTTACTCCTCTGTGCAAGTCCCTGATCACCGCTGAAACAAAAGGCTTTTCTCAAAACAGGATCAAGACCAGGACTAAACAGGGTCTAAAACAGGTCTGAGCCAGGTTTACAGAACTATTTAAATCTGGACTCAACCTGGTTTTCATGTACTGATATTCTATCCATCCATCCATCCATTTTCTTCCGCTTTATCCGTTGCCGGGTCGCGGGGGCAGCAGTCTAAGCAGAGACACCCAGACTTCCCTATCCACACACACTTCCTCCAGCTCGTCCGGGGGGACCCCAAGGCGCTCCCAGGCCAGCTGAGAAACGTAGTCTCTCCAGCGTGTCCTGGGTCTTCCCCGGGGCCTCCTCCCGGTGGGACGTGCCCGGAAAACCTCCCCAGGGAGGCGTCCAGGAGGCACCCTGAACAGATGCCCGAGCCACCTCAACTGGTTCCTCTCGACGTGGAGAAGCAGCGGCTCTACTCCGAGCTCCTCCTGTGTGACCGAGCTCCTCACCCTATCTCTAAGGGAGCGCCCAGCCACTCTGCGGAGGAAGCTCATTTCGACCGGTTGTATCCGCGATCTCGTTCTTTCGGTCATTACCCAAAGCTCATGACCATAGGTGAGGGAGGGAACGAAGATTGACCGGTAAATTGAGAGCTTTGTCTTTCGGCTCAGCTCCCTCTTCACCACAACGGTCCGATACAGCGACCGCATCACTGCGCACGCTTAACCTGTCCGCCTGTCAATCTCACGCTCCATCCTTCCCTCACTCGTGAACAAGACCCCGATACTTGAACTCCTCCACTTGAGGAAGGATATTCTACTACTCTCATAATCAATTATGTTCAAAGGCCCTGCAGGCTCCGCTCAGATCACACATCAAGTTAGTGAGCAGCAGATATTTCACTTCAGTTCAAAATGCCTAATCATATGTATCACAGAAAGATAGCCCTATGTGAACTGAATCCGCGTCATTTTCTATACAGCGACCTGACTTCCCTCAGACGTTCCCTGCACTTCTCCTCCATCTTTTTCTTGCATTTATTTCCGTTGTTGGTTTTACTAATGTCTGTTATACAGTTTCTGGGCTCCACCTTTTGTCTGTTTCACATACAACTATGGGTTAAAACGCCACAATGCACCAGTTCAGCTTTTTCATGCCTGATACTGATCTTGATACTTTGGCTTTCAGTATCTGCCGATAGTCGATATGAACAGATACCATTGAAGGGAAAATAGTATTTTGTCCCCGCCAAATCAGTCAAGTAACTACTCAACAACTTTGTTTGGTGTTTTACCATGTTACAATATTGTTACTCATCAAAAGTTGGAGTTGTTTTTAAATCCATCCACGCTAATATCGGGGACGCTCGGAGCAGTTTTCCCCATACTTTAGTTTTGCCAATTTCTCAAATGAAATTACATTCTTTACAATAGCATTAATGTAATTGCAGCCAGTACTTTTTCAAATTTCAAGATAAACAAAGTAAATTCAACTCCTCCCTCTGGTGGTAGCATGGGGAGTTACAGGCGGAGAGCATTATTTATCCTTCATACTCGTTTCGGTATAAATGTTCTACTACAATATTTCACACAGTAAAACATGAAATGACAAAGTAAAAAGTCTCATCACAATGTTTAATGTTCAATAATAATGCATTATGTTTGTTCTTTAATATTCGACAGTAATTAGTTTTATTAGATAAAATAACTAATATCATAACTAATATCAAAGAGCCGATCCCACAGATTTTCATGGCACCGACACTAAATCTAAACTGTCCTGTATGGCCAATTGAATACAGACTAAATGAAAACAGCTTTGAGTGTCTAAATGTGAAAAAATATTTGATTGCAGTGCCTCCATTTTGCGTAGTAACTCATTTTTAAGTAAATTAATGAAATAGCATTAAACCAGGTCTAAAAGTTGTCTTAAAAAATCCTCATTACAGCGCCTTAAATCAGAGCCACGCAGTCCCATACTCATCTATCTTCAGCAGAAAGGAGACTCAGTCCGCTGGGGGGGTGGGGGGGTTCCTGGGGGTGCACGTGTTCTGCTCTTTCTAATGGACTGCCCTACACCACCACTACGACTGCCCCAGACACTGCTCCTCCGCACTATCAGCTCTATCATATCGTTAATATAGTGAACAACTCCTGCTCTACGGCCACGAAAGATGGATTACTCTTGGACTAAACTACAACGGGGCCATATCTAAGACTAAAGCATTAGCAGGGTCTAATCAGGGCTCATACCAGGTCCACCAACTAGACTAGACTGGTAAACCTGTATAGACTTTCTATGGTAATAACAGGGTTTTTTTGGACTCATAGTGTATCTCTGCACCATCTGTCTACACTTGTATCGCGTTATCAGGTGCATCATAGAGTTAATATGGTACAAGAACAATTACAGCGGAGAAAACAAAAGAAAGGGGAGAGGGGGGAGAATGATGAATAGGAGGCTGAAGCAGGAGCACTCACACACTATGTTTACACGCGCCGGGAAAGCTGGAGAAGTGGTCGGGTCCAATTTAAACAGATTAAGAAAAATGTGGTGAAAATGCAGTGAGTTTGAATGAGCTGAAGTCTGTGCTCAAACTAGTCAAACCAACAGAGGTCCAAGTCTGCAGCAGGTCAAAGAGCAAGTTAAAACATGTTGTATGGTATCACATACTGTAAATGCGTCATGGTGTGCACGTTCTGCTAATTTATCTGGTTTTATTTTTATATATATATTGGTGCTCTTGTTGTGAGTTTTACTTCCTGCATGTCTGTCCTTTTGATTGTTTGCCCCGCCTTGATGTGTTACACCTTTGTGTCTCAGTGTGTGTATTCATACCATGTTTTCCTGTCCCCTTGTTGTTGGTCCATTGTTGTCTTGTTCTTGGTTTCAGTTTTCACGTATGGATTCACTTTTTGTTGTGTTTTTAAAATATATTATTTTGCAGTTTTGATTTTGGGTCCTTCCTTGTTTATTGATGACAATATGTTTGTATTTCTGTGGCTTTTACAGTTCATTGTGCTTGTGGCCAACTTTGAAATACTTTGACGTATACTGACTGGCGTTCAACATTTCAGAGTCTCCCAGACATTTTCATGTTTTGTGTCACATGAACTTACATATTCGTCCAAGGGTTTCGAGAAAGTGCATCTGTTGACAGTTAACACGGCAAAAAGGGACAAAATAAACAGTCAAAATAGTTAGAATTAGGCTAAATCTATCTGGAACTTGCAACTTCACTCTTGTTTTAAGGCAGTCAAAATGTTCTCAATTCTAGCCTCTATTACCTTATATAGTAGCTTTTGCTGTGTACCAGTAGAACACTGGAGTGATGGTAGCTGGAAATGGTCCTTTGTACACATGTAGATATCTGTTCAAAAATGTATATAATTGTTTTTTTTATCAGTGTCCGGGTTATATTTTGGATAAATTCAATAATATGATCAATATTTTCTCTTACAATATGGACAGTATCTCTCAAGTCATGCTAAAGTCACAGGCTGTCCCTATGGCTCACAGCTGTCTGCTGTGTGTGTGTTCAGGCCGTACCAGTGTGGACATTGCTCTCAGTCGTTCTCGCAGCCGTCTGAGCTGAGGAACCACGTGGTGACGCACTCCAGCGACCGGCCTTTTAAATGTGGATACTGCGGAAGAGCCTTCGCCGGTGCCACCACGCTCAACAACCACATCCGCACGCACACCGGAGAGAAGCCCTTCAAGTAAGTAACCGTGAGTAACCACACAACAAGCATACAGGGGGGACTGGACCGGGACTGGACCGGGACTGAACCAGGACTGGGCTGGGACTGGATCAGAATTGTACCAGGACAAGACCAGGAGTGAACCAGGGGTCTCATTTCCATGTTAAATGTATGATACTGTATATGAAATTGATTTGGTTAAAAAACAAGTGGGAGACATATTTTGTTCATAGGTACATTTCTAGTTACAATTCTACGCACATTTTTATGAATGAGGCTCGAGGGCAGAACCAGGACTGAACCAGAGGGCTGTAAGAAGAAGCAAAAACTGTTTTCACACCTGATTTTGTGGTTTCACTCTGAAGAAGTCGGATGAAGTTGAACATGAACTGAACGTTGAGCAAAACTTGTCGGTTTCTTCCACCAGTGAGAAGAGAGCATGCTCTATTGTCCGAGTATCGCCATAATACAGGAATGTACCGGTAGAAGACAGAAGCAACTTCATCCAAAATGTAAAACTCTAGATAAGATAAGATAGACTTTATTGATCTCACACTGGAGAAATGTACATGTCACATTTGGCATGGATAGAAAACTTGAGGGTTCTCTTCTGTTAATCTTAAATGGCTCTATATAGGGGCGGCATGGCGGTACAGTGGTTAGCGCTTATGCCTCACAGCAAGAAGGTTTGATTCCACCTCCAGACCTTTGGACATTGCTCATCTGCCCCTTTTGGACCAATGAGTTTTTTATCATTCTATCAAATAATTTTATTCATTATCACACAATTTATATTATAATATATATCATATATTCAAACCATTTTAATATTTTTTAGAACAATATTATTATTTTAATTTTCATTATTTTTCAATATTCAATCAAATAATTACATCAAATATTAGAATTACATTATTTATCATTTATATAAAATTATATCATACACATTATATCATTAATGTATTATTATTATTAATAATTTCATTTATTCATTTTAACATTATATAATGTTAATTTATCATATCATTCAATATGTCATCATTTAGTTTTAAATCATTAGTGTATCAGTCAAATCACATCAGTTGTTATATATATTTCATATAATTTTAATTTATGCACATTATTTTATTATTTTCATGTTAATTTTTCTATTAATCATTATATCAATTAGTATTTATCAAATCATTTTGTTCATATTATCATAAAAAAATTTATATATCAAAAATAAATTCTTAACATCATCTAAATTTATAATATTATTAATTTATTATTTATAATATTATTTTTTTTATTTAATATTATTTATATTTATATTAATTTTTTTAATTATTATTTATTATATTTAAATATTTATTTACATTTATTTATCTATATAATTTTATTTTTCATTATTATAAATTATTATATTTTATTTATTATTATTTTATATATTTTTATTAATTTTTATTTATTTATTTTCTATAATTATTATATTTTATTAATATTTATTTATTTATCATTTATTTTATTATTTATTATAAATTTTATTTGCATTATTTCATTTTATTAATTATTAATTTTATAATTTTATTTTAATTATTATTTTTATATATTTAATATTTTTAATTATTTTTAATATATATTTATTTATTATATTATATATTTTCTTATTTCATTTTAATTATTTATATTTTAATATATTTATATTATATTTTATTTATTTAATTTTTAATATTATCTATTATTTTATTTTTATTATTTTTATATTTATTTATTATTTATTTTTTTATATATATTTTATATTATATTTATATAATTTTTATTTTATTAAATATATATTCTATATATATTATATTTTTTTATATTATATTTTTTATTATATTATATATTTATAAATATATTTATATGTATTCATTTTAATAATTTTTATTATTTATATATATTATTATAATTATTTATTAATATAATTTTAATTTTATTTTATTTTTAATTTATTATATATTATATATATTATTTATTTATTTTATTTTTATATTCTAATTATTATTTTTTTATAATTTTATTATTATTTTATCTATATTATTATCAATTTAATATTTTTTATTTATTAATTATTTTAATTTATTATTATAATATATTATCATTTTATTTTTTTAATAATTTATTATTATATATTTAATATATTTATTTTATTAATTTATATTATATTATTTTTATTTTATTTTTATATATTCATTTTTTATATTATTAATATTTATTTATATTTTTAATTTTATTATATTTTCAATTTTATATAATTATTATTATAATTTTTATTTTTATTTTCATTATATTTTAATTATTATCTTTATATTATATTATTAATTATTTATTATTATTTATTATTTTTAATTATTATAATTATAATTTTTTATTTATATTTTATTATATATTTTTATATTATTTATTTATTTTATAATATATTATTATTATATCTTTATATATTTTATTCATTTTTTATATTAATTAATTTATATATTTTATTATATTTTGATTTATATTATTTTTTATTTCATTATTATATTATATTTTTTTTAATTTTTTATTATATATTTTATATTTTATTTTTATTTATATTTATCTTATTTTATATATTATTTTTTATTTATTAATAATATTTTCATTTTTTATTTTATATTATTTTTCATTTTATTATTTAATATTCATTTTTATATTAATATTTTTATATTTATTATTATTTTTTAATTATTATTATTTATTTTTTTATTTTATTTATTAATTTATATTTTATTTTATTTATATTATATAATTTTAATTTTTTTATTATTTTTTATATTTATTTATTTTTTATATTTATTTAATTTATTTATTTTTTATTAATTTATATATTTTTTTTGAATATTTTTTTATATTATAATATTTATTTATAATTTTATTCATTTTTATTTATATTTCAATATTATATATTATTGTTATAATATATTCATATTTTAATTTATTTTTTTTTAATATTTATTTTATTAATAATTTTATAATTTCATTTAAATTAATTTTATATTTAATTTATTTATTATTATATATATTATATTTATAGTTAATATATTTATTTATATTATATATTATTTTTAATTTATTTTAATTTATATATTTTCATATTATTTAATTTTTTATTTATTTTATTATTTATTTCAATTTTATTTATTTATATTATTTATATTTTAAATATTATATTATTATATTATTATTTTTATTAAATATATTTATTTTTATTTCATTTTTATCATTAGTATTAATTTATATCATATAATTTTATTAATTATATTTATTTATAATATATTTTAATTATTAATATTTTCATTATTTTTATTATATAATTTTTATTTATATTATTTAATTTATTTTATAATTTTTTTTTTATTTATTTATAATATTTTTTTCTATATTTATATTATTTAATAATTTATTATATATTATTTATTAAATATTTTTTTATTATATTTATAATATTTTTATTATTTATTATATTTTATTAATTTATATATATCATATAATTTATTATATTTTATTATTTTATTTATATTAATATTATAAATTAATATATTTATATTTATTTATTATTATTATTTTATTTATTAATTATATTTATTATAATTTATTTTATATTTTTAATATATATTATATATATTATTTTTATATTAATTATTATATTTTATATTTTATTTTATTAAATATTTATTTATTATTATTTATTTTATATTTATTAATAATTTATATTATTTTATTTTATATATTATTAATATTTATTTATTTTTTAATTTTTATTTATATTATAATTTATTTATAATTATTAATTATTATTTTATACATTTTTTTAATATAATTATTTTTATTATTTTTTTTTATATTATATTTATTTTATTTATAATTTATATTATTTTTATTTTATTATAATATAATTTTATTATATTATTAATTTTTAATATTTATTAATTTTTATATTATTTTTTTTAATATATTTTTATAATTTTAATTATAATTATATTTATTATTATTAATATTTTTATTTTATTTTTTATTATATTTATTTTTTAATTTATATTATATTTATTTATATTTTTATTTTTTCATTTATTATTTATATAATTTTTTTTATTTTAATATTTATATTTAATTATTTTATTAATTTATTTATTAATTATTATATTATTTTTATATATTAAATATATTATATTTATTTTATTTTATATTTATTTTATATATTATATTTTTATTTTATTATTTTTATTATATTATATTTATATATTTTATTAATATTATTTATTTTATATTTTTATATTATTATTTTATTATTATAATTTTATATATTATTATTTTTATCTATTTATATATTTTATTTATTTAATATTATTTATTTATTATATATTATTTTTTATTTAATATATTATATTTTATAATTATTATATTTTTATATTTTATTATTATTATTTATTTATTTTATTAAATTTATATTTTATATTAATTATTTATTATTTCATTTATATTTTTTATATTATTATATTTATATTATTAATTAATATTATTTATTTTTATATTATTAATTTTTATTTCATAAATTTATTATATATTTATTTATAATTATTTTATTATTTTATATAATTTATTTTTATTATTATATATATTTATTTTATTAATTTTATATTTATTTTTATTATATAATTATTTTATTTTATAATTTATTTATATTATTTTTATTTATATATTTTATTTATATTTATAATATTATAATATTATTTATTTTATAAATTATTTTTATTATATTATATTTTTATAATATTATTTTATTTATTTATTTATAATTATTATTTATTATTTTTATAATTATTATTTAATTATTTATTTTATTATTTTATTTATTAATTATATTTATTAATATTTTATTTAATTTTATTTTTATTATTATTAATATTATTATTTTTTTTAATATTATAATTTTATATATTATATTTTATAATTATTTTTAATATTTTATTATATTTATTTATA